CAGTTCTCTCTGGGAGATGATTTTGCACAGCAAAAATTCAGATCCTGTGTCTTTTGAAAAATAAGTATAGCTAGCATATTGAAAAACCACAGCTTATAGTTTAGTAAAAGCAAAACTTTATTTTTCCCATTATCCTTTTACAGTGGGAAATTTAGTCTGCGGGGTAACTTTTCTGCTCTGCATGAGGACCCCAGCAGCCTATAAGTTCCTGCTTATTCTTAGGTGACAGACGATCTACAGTCACTAAGTCACAAATACGTCAGATGCGAAAATTAGAAAATCCAATCCTGTGTAATAGTCAAACCTTTGAACTTAATTTGCTGTTAAACCTCCTCTCCCACCTCCATTCTCTCCCATGCTCCATTCCCACTCTTGGGCTGGCTTTAGAATCGAAACCGGCAGTAATTTAGAGGGTGTAGTCCGTCTCCTTTTCTTTACCTCACATTTCTACTCTGCTTTGCCTATCCTGATAGCTGCTATTTTGATTTCACGAGAGTCCAGTGGGTCTGGGGGTGACAGGGAGAGGTGATAAATTGAACACTTCTTACTTGAACTAGTACTGTTGTCATTTGGTCTCATTCTGGTCTTACAGATGAATTTTCCCTTGAGGTGTCATTTTCCTGGCTTCTTCGGTGTTTTCCCTCTTTTTTCTACAATTTCCTTGACTCAGCAACTTCTCCTATGTCTTTGTTCTGATAGTCACTATGACTTCTTCCTTAGCCCCTGGACACCGAGCAGTGTATTCCAAAGCTCCTCCAACCTCTTCCAGGTGGCTCTATAGGACTGACCCAAGACAGTCCCCTTATTGACTTACTCTGTGTATAGGGGACACAGCTCTTGCAAGGAACACTCATGCATCCCTGGCCAGGGACTGGCATGAGTCCCAAGGCAACAGCACTCCAAAGAAGTCAGCTATTCTCATTCCTTTTAGATCGCCACCTGGTAGGACTTAGACCCTGGCCATACTGTCAATTTCATCTTTCTCAAAAGTGAGTTGGGCTTCGAAGCCTCTCAGCCTAGGGAAACACTTCCACTGCTCTCTGAGGGATTCTTTCCTCCAAGCTCATAGTTAGAAGGTTGCCCCTCCTCCCAATTCCCTGAGAGCATGGAAAGCTTGGCAAAATAATGCCTGCCCCTCCCCTCCATCAAGAGATATCTTCTCCATCTCTTTTGTCTCCATTCTCTGACCCTTCTTCTGTGGCCTTCATCTAGCTGAGAAGCTCAACAGGCACCCCCAGGTTCTCAAGGCCATTTATTTTCAATATCTTTGTAACATATTTTGGCGCCTTTCTCTGGAATTTTACATCTATTATGTTTTGTTGCATGGTGAAAATGTCAGTTTTCAGATCCTATTACACAAGTTATAAACAAACATGATTCATAAGCCAACCTTTGAACCACGGTCCAGTGGGGTAACATCTGGCTCTACTAAAACTTTTGATTTCTCAGTGTGTTATTGTGTAAAAAAACTGCGGAGGAGGACAACTTTCCTAAGAGTTTTATTTAATACTTGATCAGCTATGCTATTCAGCACTTGTTAACTAGAGCTGTAGGAATACAAAGTTCATAAAATAATTTGGAATGAAATAGCTTACTGAGTGGATGTAGTGGATATTTTTGTATGGTAGTAGATTTATTCTCCAAGAATGTCATGTGGTTCTTAATCATGAAGAAAGCAGAGAGTCCATGATCCACTTCCAGCGCAAGAAAGCAGTGAGTCCATTATTCTCTTTCTAGACAGGAGGGCAGGAAAGTGGCTCTGCAATACTGACCCACAAGGAGACAAATTCTCCCAAATTAACTCCCTCACCAGCTGACCATTCTAAACACAGACTTCATGGACACCATAATAGCATGTTTCGGTGAGAGCTGAAGGGAAGAGAGGGTGGTGGATGGTTCTATTTTCTGAGGTCAGAATACCTTTGCAGGGTTGCTTGAGTCCAAAGCATAGAGAAAACAGAAAGAAACACCACTGTGAGGTTCCCAGAGGCGGCATAATCTGATCATATGCGCTGCTGTTTAGACTTGACTTTTGCAGGTAAGGTTGAGGGCCAAAGGTTGTGTGCTGTAGGGATTTCCCCCTAACTTTTTGTTTGTTTGTGTAAAACTAGGGAGGGAAATTGTTGAATGAAATGCAAGAGATTTTCTTTTATTTTACTTATTTGGAGACCTCAATTATGGAATTGGAAAACGTTTGCTTGATGTTTGATTTGCTAAAGTGGCAACTCTTTAAGCTGGTGCCCCCACCTGCTTTTATGCTCCAGGTTCACTTTTTGAACCTGGAGAATAAAAGTTTCCCACTTCCTTAAAGTGTCTAATTTTCTCCCCACCTCCCACCTTGCAGCCTCCTTGAGATTCATAAGCTTTGTGAAGTCATGGCAGCTAAGAATGTATGATCAAGCTTTACTTCCTATAGTTTCTTTTACAAAGAAAATAGGCATTTGCTGGCTTTTTAAAAATACGTGTTTATATATTTTTTAAAATAGGAGAGAATCCCTCAGAGAGCATGTATCTTTTTAATATACCACCAGTTGTACAAAATGTCCTATAATTTCAGAGGGCTCAAAGACCTTCTGAAGGCCATGCATTAACCTGCAAGGGGGTTGTTTCTCCCAACTTTAGATGACTCTGTCACGGCCACGTCATGGGCTCATTTTCCATCCTGCTGGATATCCTAATCCCTCTTAGAATCAGTTTTAAAGCTGTGAGTGACCTTAGAGATCATCTACATTTTATAGAAAATTTAAGTGGTATATTAAGCAACTTTCCCAAAGTTACACGAGTGTCTTTACACTACAGGTTCCGAGCAAGAACTCAGGTGACTGAATTTCCTGTTGACTCCTATTCTTTCCACTATATTGTCAATGGCTTGAGTCTTCTCTACTTTGTCCCGTCCCCTTACAGACAGTAACCAAAACCATAAAACAAATGCCAGGATAACACACTCTGCCAAAGTACTTTATATTCTTTTGTATATACTGATATCATGCTGTTTTTCTTTTATACTAGTACTTGGCTAAACAAAATACTTATGCAGTTGCTGTGAACCCAGATTTTGCCAAGTATTATAAATGATACAGAATAAAAAAAAATTAACTCTAATTTCTAGCAGTTTCAAATTTACTAGGGAGACAAATATGACTCATGTTTAACCTGTGGCCAGCTGTAACCCCTAGAACTTTTCTTTTATATTTATAATTTTTGCTGGTATAATAGTAGGTATATGTATTTGTGGGGTACATGAGATACTTTGATACAGGCATGCAATGCATAATAATCACATCATGGAGAATGGGGTATCCATTCCCTCAAGCATTTATCTGCTTTGCTACAAACAATTATACTCTTTTAGTTATTTTTAAATGTACAATTAAATTATTTTGACTACAGTCACCCTGTTGTGCTATTAAATACTAGTTATTAGTCATTCTAACTATTTTTCTTTTGGTACCCATTACCATCCCCACCTCCCCCCTGACCCTGGGACTTTTAAAGATGCATCTGTAATTAGTGATTTCCAGGCCTCCATTGCATCCTCTAACTCATCCCTCTTTGATTTCTTGTATAGCTCCTCTGTATCAAGAATGGTTTGTGAGATTGGAAGGGATATAGGAGAATTCAACGGCGTTTTGTTGGTAAAATTAATTACCAATAATATAAAAGCTCAAACAGCAGTACGAGGTAAATAGTGTCATTATTTTCTAGGTGAGGAAACTGAGGCTTAACAAGATTATGTGACTTGTCCAGGAGTGCAGAGTTGGTAGTAGATGGAGTGGAGTAGGCTCTTTCAGCAAAAGTAGCTGGTATCAGAGCCCGCAGGGATCCCTCCAGCCTATGCAACTAAGAGTATAATAATGTGGGCAAGGGCAAATAGGCCAAAATAGGCTTACTGTAAATCATTGTTTTTGTCACGTGAGGTCATGATACCTAAAAATAGCTGACTGAGAGGTGTTTGCATGTGCCAGCTGTCCCATGTGTCCTACCTAAAGCTGTGTGAATTTTTATGCGAGCAGCAACTGTGTAACAGTGAAGGAGGGATCACAAAGCTAAGTAATGTGTGGGATACCCTCTTGAGAGATCTTTGTTGAATTCACCTTTTATTTATCCAAAATTGGAGCTGATGCAAAAACAAATGTAGTAGAGACTTTCAGTCTCAGGACCTTTGTTGAAAAAGGAATTTAGCATCCACAGTTGTCATCTAAAAACAGGTTCCCAGGTAAGCAAGTCTTGGCAAATGGGACAATGAGGCTGCAGGATTGTTTTGTTTCGAGAAGAAAGTTGTCTACTGGGACCTATGCTGTCATCAGTCTCAGGCAGTGTTTGCAGAGGGTGAACCTGACATCTTCTCGCCCCTAAACTTTTCCCTGTAAGTCATCAGTGCATGGTGGGATAATGTGACTCTTTGTATTTTGCCATGGAGATGGAGGAAGAATCAGTAGGGATTTGATAAATTTACCCATGTATAATTGAAAGTTGTTTTGTTTAATCAGCGTGTGCCCAAATTGTTTACTCCCAAGGGTGTCTAAAATAAAAACTTTGTGTAAGTTTTTGGCTAGGAAGAAAAGCAGGCATGTGAGAAAAAGAAAAAATATATAGACATTCTTCCACTGACTTTTACTTTAGTGGAAGATGAAAGCAATAGACCATTATCAAATAAGTAACCCTAGCTTTATAAAGACCTGGTTCTCGGAAGACTGGTGTGGCATATTTGCTATATTTGTTTCTATTCTGTTTGTAAAAGGTTTTAAAGGTTTACGATGTAATAAAGCAATTATTTTGTGTTGAAAATTAAAGAGTGTGCTTGTATTTTAGGTCTTATGAGAATTCTAAGGTGCCATGAGAATTGGAGTGTGTTGGTGTGATGGGGTGGGCAGTGAGGAAGATGGGAGGAAACTTCCTCTCACACACCATGCTAGCTTACAAGCCCTCATCTCTCAATATTTTTTATTCCACTGGGTTGAGATAAAAATAAATAAAAATTTTTCCATAATGTATTTCAGGGTCCTGATAGCATCCCAGCTGGAACCAACATTTGCCAGGTTTGTTTTCCCTTGTTTTGATGAGCCAGCTCTGAAGGCAACTTTTAATATTACAATTATTCATCATCCAAGTTATGTGGCCCTTTCCAACATGCCAAAGCTAGGTAAGTAATGCTTTCTGTCCATATCTAGCTATCTAGCTATATAAGCTTTGTAATCACGTTTACACCAGTGGCTTTTCTAGGCAGTGTATTATGGTGTATTATAAGTACAGCCTCCTATAATTAGGTAGTGCAGTCACCTGGAGTATGTGTCAGCACCCACATCTTGGAGATGGTAAGTCCTGATTCCTTTTGTATTCAAAGCTGAGGATATTATACTGTTCTTATACGTAGGCAGTCTGCCTGTCCATTCGTTTGGGCTTCAACTGTTGATCATTAGTGATAACGAGTTGGTGGGCTTGGGCTGAATCTGGTGCACAGCTGTGTTTTATTTAGCTCACGTGCCTTTTTTTCTTTTGATTAAATCAGTTTCCAACTTTAAAATATCTAGAGATTTTACATAAAAATTTAAATGTGTAAACTGAGAAGTTCTAACAACACTGCGCCTATGGCTCTTACGTGGCAGTGATCAGTTACATTTGAGAGGAGGCTCTAAGTCTCAGGACCTTAGTTGAAAAGGGAATTTAGCCTCCACAATTGCCATCTAAAGGCAGGTTCCCAGGACAGCAAGTCTTGCCGCAGCCAGCAGGAGGTTGGCTGTCTCCTGCAGCCTCTTCTCAGATGATCCCCAGCACGCCCTATTAGCATACGCCAACCCATTTCACTTCAAGTGCCTGGCCCTGGTAGGTATTTGAGTTTGTGACTACTGCTTTAAAGTCCCCAGATTGTTTCTGCTAAAGTCTTAGTTGAAACCTGAGAATAGTAGAATTGCACCTTGTTGACCTGCCTGGGGGCAGCTCTAGATTGAGTGTTGTGAGAAATGGGCTGGACTAGAAAACAATAGAAGTAGGTGGAGGAGAAAGGAGGCAGATATCAGGGGCTAAGTGTTAGTGCTAGTGGATTTGGCCCTCAATCAAGCTTGTATTATTCAAAATGCTGATTCAGGCCAAAGATACTATTCTGAGATCTTCCTAATGTAGTTTTGGATAGCTTAGGGGAAGGTGGAGAAATCTGAACGGCTAGGCTCTGAGGAATAGCTGGAAAGGAGTAGCTGTGTGACAACTGATTTGACAAATTATTTCAAAGTCTTGTTATTGCTTAGGTTTGCTGTGATTTGAACTAAAATAAATTTCTCTAGGTCAGTCTGAAAAAGAAGATGTGAATGGAAGCAAATGGACTGTTACTACCTTTTCCACTACGCCCCACATGCCAACTTATTTAGTTGCATTTGTTATATGTGACTATGACCATGTCAATAGAACGGAAAGGGGCAAGGAGGTGAGTGAGGAAGATTCTCTAGGTAAGGGAGGGTGTACTGGCTGCAGACTGTTCATTTATTCTTTCTGCCTCCAGTGGCTATGCCTGCATATCCCATAATCGCTTCCTAGTTCTCTCTCCCAAGTCCTGTTAAAGTTCTTAGTGTGGCTTTGCAGAATGGGACGTAACATTTTCTATTGCCATTCTTTGGATAGGTTTCCATGGAAAGACTGCATATTAAACCCACTCCTCAAGACAAGGTCTATGCTCCCTCTTCCCAGTGTGTTTCTGCTTTTGCAGAAGACAGGAGAGAATGGGGAGCACTGCTGCCCTGAAACTTGATACTTGGGTTTAGCGTGTGATGTGTACTTAGCCAGGGTTAGTGGAGTCTTGAAGCTTGAGTGATATTCAAAACGGTCAACAACCAGTGTGGCTGGGCATCAACCAGTCAAAACAGACTCTAGCCAGGAAAAAATGCTGTGGCTGAAATGGTGCATGCAGGTTAAATTTCATCCCTATTGTTCTATGAAACAGCCATATAAACAAAGCAACCCCCAAATGCAGAAGGAGCTGAGAAACCGAAGAAGGAGGCAGACAAATCTAGTTTGTTGGTTTGGAGTGATTTATTAAGTGAAAAAGACAGAAGCATGGTCTTGGGTGGCACAAGACAGGTATATCTTTGCTCTGCAACTCCCCAGACCCAGGGCTTATGTCTTGGGGGAAAAGCATGCATGCTGCATGCTCTGGAAGGAATGTGTAGTTGCCCACCCACAGGCATCACAGCCTATGATTTCCAGAAGAACAAGGGTGGTTTTGAAGGAAACTTAGAATGAATAGGTGTTTCTACATAATGAGTATCACATTAACTAGACATTTTAGACTCAAGGATAGTTAGAATTTACGTAGTGGATTAGCATTTAAAATAAAGTCACTCTTGTCCCCATACCAATCCAGAAGCTGAACTGCCATGTTCTTCAGCTCTGGAGCATGCAACACTTTTTCTGAGTTGTGTAAAGTTGGCATCTGTCCTGAAATACCTGGTTTTCACCCAATTACCCCCTTTATGATAATCCTTTAGAAAAATATGGCGGTTATACTGGCAGTGCTTTATATACTGGTTCACTCCCTATCACAGAGGGACTTACACCCAGTTCTTTCTAGACGCATAGGCTTCATGGGGCTGAGAAAAATCAGGCCTTATAGCTGGCTAACATATTCTCCTGACCTCAAGATCTTCCAGGCTTACACTGTTACATGTGGAGAAAAGAAAGCTGTGGATGAGCCAAGCTGCTCGTCAGGGAAGAATCAGTCAAAGCTACTCCTCCTTTACAACTCCTAACCTAGTGATGAATTAACAACTTTGTGTTGGTTGAACGATTCTCAAAGCTCCTCCTAACTTTATGAATTAATAATACTGTGTTAGATGCAAACGACAGCTTGTTATCTTCCTAAGCTGATGGCTCTAGTCTGATTTTCCTCATTGAATAATTACTAGTAGATCCTTGACATCCACAGATAGAGCACTGGCCAAGTTAAACATGCGTGGCTTATATAGTTAAATCTGCTCAGGCCTGATTTGGAAGTATGTGCTTCAAGTTTGGCAAGGAGGAGTGGGCCCCATGGCTCCCACAGGAAATGACAGACCCAAGGTGATTCCTCGGCTCCATTATCTCAAGTGCCTTGTTGTGGTCAGTGCTGCTGCACAGCCAACATTTCTTGTAGAGGGATGAACTCTATTTATCTGTGAAAGATCACCCCGAAAGGATGCCAGCTGCCATAGAAGCAGCAAGAAAATGGAGCATGCCTGAGAAACTCATGTTCTTAGTCAGCACACTGAAGTTTGGCATGAGTCTATCAGTGGAATGTTAGCATTTGGCTACAGCTCAGCTTTACAAAGTTAGTGAGTGCATTATATACTCTACAGAAAAACAAAAATGTATACTTGGAATAGAGTCCAGCCCATTTACAAATTTCTCATTAAGTAACAGATAAAGATTTGGTGAAATGGACAGTATGGTTAATGTCTGGCATGAGGATAAACATAAGAAAGCAAGTAAATTATAATTCTCTCATTATTCTGTTGCCAAATGACACTTCCACTTTAGCAAGTAAAAGGAAATCTCTGCCATGTTTTGTCCATTTTGTGTAACCACATTATTGTTCGGGTACTTGGAGCTTATTTGTGTGATTTTGATGAGTAATATTCTATTGTTTTAACATTATTATTTTAAATTGAAAGTATTGCAAACTCTACAAAATTATCACGTAAGCAATGTAGGTAGTTCAGGATTTACATAATTCAAGAAAAACTTTTAAGCAGAAATTAAAGGAAAGTCATTTCCTTAGCATTTTTTTCTCTAATGTTTTGCAGAACATTCTTTCTTAGATAACTGCGTTCACAACAGGACAAATATTTTAATTATCTCACTTGGTAACTTTCATTCCAAGATCTTTAAGTTTTACATATGTTCTTTAACATTAATGCTGGCAATTCTATTGAAATTGCTTACATGATATTTTTGTAGCATTTACAATACTTTCAATTTACAGTAATAATTGATTTTAAAACAATAGGCTATTACTCACCAAAATCACACAAGTAAGCTGCAAATACACAAGCAATAGCGTGGTCACGCCAAATGAACAAAACATGGCAGAGATTCCCTTTTACTTGCTAAAGTGGAAGTGTCATTTGGCAATATAATACCAAGAAAATTATAATTTACTTGCTTCGACAGCTTTAAAATTATAGGACATTTGATAAACTTTTTTAAATTAGGAGAATTAACCTTATTTCAAATTTTAAAAGTAGGACTATTAATATTCTAACAGCCAAATCGTTTTAAATTTTGTATGATTTAAATTTGCTTAATATGTAACATACTATATAACCCCCACTAACAGTGCAATTCTGTTTGGATCCTTAGTAATATATCCTGAATAGGGAGGCAAGGGCTCAGAGTGCACAAAATGTCTATAGAATCTACACTTACTGTAAGGGTAGATGGTGGTATGACCCATTCCAAGGGTTGTTTTATGATTCCAGAGTTGTACATGGTGTTGTCAAAGAGTGACATAACGCACTTTTAAGGGAAATCACTGTTTAGAACTTAGTGAACAGCCTTCAGGGGTTTTCTCAGGACATGGAGGCATGCAAACATTTTATTATATAGGTTCTTCTGAAAAGGTAAGACTTTGACTCTAGAGCAGCAGGGAACTGGAGCAAGCAGGTTACCTCTTTTCAAAATCGCTACTGGTTTTCCTAATCAGCGCTTAACTGTTTTGATTTAGATACGCATCTGGGCCCGCAAAGATGCCATTGCAAGTGGAAATGCAGACTTTGCTTTGAACATCACAGGCCCCACCTTCTCTTTTCTGGAGGATTTGTTTAATATCAGTTACTCTCTTCCAAAAACAGGTGAGGCACTCTTTTCCTTTCAGTGCATTTGGTTTTCTGTTATTTGGGCCCTTGGTTGAGGCCTGGCGATACAGAGACAAACCCATAAGGATCCACTGTTGCTATTTAGCTGCTGTTTTGGAGTTAGCCTCCTGACCTATGTTTTACACCTTCAGAAACACACAGAGGCCCACCTCTCTACCTCTGTACAGAGCCATGTGCTCAGCAGCTGCTGAAGAGCTCTTAGACTTTTTAGGTCTCACCTGGCTGCTCAGTGGCAGCCTCCCATCCTCTAGACACTGCTTCCTCTTTTGTGTTCGAGCCTTTTGTCTCATACTGCAAGTGTGCAATGCTCTGTCTGGATCATCTTAGCTAGCGGACTTTCAGAAGTTGCTTCATTTCCCTTTAGTAAATTGTATTTTTTAAAATTAGTGGTCCTAACTGTGAATTTTCATTATATAAAATTGGAATCATATGTTAATATAATAGGATCCTTATGGAAATATGTAAATATTTAACCTCTCATAGATCTATGTGGTATGTCCTTAAAATTGCATAAGCCACTCAGCTCAAAGTTGTTCAATATTTTTTCTCTCTAACTTGAAAGTATCTTGTAAATATGTTTTGTTCCTCTGACATGTGAGTTGGAGACTTTGAAAAAGTATGCTCTGCCTATAGTGGCAGATAGTGGAAGAAGATGGGGAGTAAATATTTGGGAGGATGAACCTCCTGGGCCCCAGGAAGCCAGGGCCTCTGCAGCTCAATCATTCTGGCTAACGAGGAGTGGGAAATGAAGGAACAGAAACCAGCCTTGGCCCGTTCAGAAATACTGGAGGTGACACCTATGATTTAGGGAGTTGGAGGCAGCAGGAGCTCAGGCATGGAGACCAAGCTCCTGGCATTTCTGGGGCTGGAGGCTCCCAAAATGTCCCTTATCTTGGCAAGAAAAGTTCTATTTGTATTTATGTAGATGAGAAGTGCAGAGTCATCCTTGATACCCTGTTCCCGCACCATCAATCTAATTAGTCACCTCATCATCCCCTACATCCATCCACCCACTTACTTCTTCCTGTCCCCCAGTTCTCCCTAATTTTCATCATCATCTCCACCACAGCTGTCCTCTCATAGCTTCTCCACATTCCCTCCTGCCCCCTCCAAGCCATGCTTCATATGAAGCCAGAAGGATCTTTCCAGAGCAAATCTGATTATGTTACTATTCTCTTTAAAAACTCTTTGTGACCTCCCATTGGCCTGAGGGTTAAGTCCAAAGTCAGCACCATGTCTTTATAATGGTGCATCTCTTACCAGCCTCTCAGGGCTTTTGGCTGTTCCTGAGTGGGACGGCTGCTTTAGCACTGTCTCTGCCCTCTCCTATGTGTTCACCTTCCTCTTGTCTCCTCCAGGCTCTTACACATGCAGTTTGCACATCCTGAAATGCCTTCTATCCACTGATTAATTCAATTCTATTTCTCAACTCAATGCCCCCTCATCCAGGAAGCCTTCCCTGACTTCTTTTCTCCAACTTCCACAGCATCCTACATATTTCTCCATCTGACCTCTTGATCAATTGGATTTTAATTGTCTTCCTCATTAGAACTTGGAGTTAGGATCTGAATGGTTTTTTTCTTTGTGCTGCCAGAACCTATGGCAGTCAGGTGGTCAACAGTAAACTTTTGGGGGTATGGAGGAAATAAATATATGTGATTAGTTCAGTAATTCCACTTAAATTCTGACCAGATTATTAACTCCTGAACATCAGGGATACATTTGATACTTTCTCCATAAACTTCATAGCATCTCAATTGGTGCCACCCTATGAGCACCCACAGAAGGTGCTCAATCAAAACTTCATTTTTGTTGATAGGTGATTAAAATAAGGAATTCCTCTATTACTGGATTTTTAGGAGAAAGATAACTAATATTTCTTTTTTTTTATTTTGGGGATTTAAAAAATGTTTTAATTTTTAATTCTCGTGGGTACATAATAGGTATATAAAGTTAGGGGACACATGCAATGTATAATAATCGCATCCTGGAAAATGGAGTATCCATTCTCTCAAGCATTTATCCTTTGTGTTATAAGCAATCCAGTTATACTGTCTTAGTTGTTTTTAAATGTACAATTAAATTATTATTGACTGTAGTCACCCTGTGGAGCTATCAAATACTAGGTCTTATTCATTCTTTCTAATTTTTTTTGAACCCATTAACCACCCCAAGTTCCCCCAAGCCCCCCACTGCTTTTCCAGCCTCTGGTCACCATCCTTCTGCTCTTTATCTCCATGAGTTCAATTGTTTTGATTTTTAGATCTTTGGGGATTCTTTTTTCTTTAGGTTTGGAGTACACGTGCAGATCATGCAGGATTGTTGCATATTGCTTTAATTCTTTGTTGAATCACAAACAAAACAAAGCACATGCCTCCGCTACCAGTATTTCCCACATATGCCGTACTCCTACCCTCAGAGAGTTTGGTGAAAAACTATTTGGTTTATTTCTCCTGTGTTGTTCTTTTAGCTTATTTTCTTGTAGCTTGCTCAATGAATTTTTACTTTAGAATCTAAGATTATATGAGTTGTGTTCATGTATCCCATAAATAGAACAGTATTTTTTCTCATTTATTATCATTTTAATTCACTCTCAAGTCAAAAGTTAGATTCAATATCAAAATACTATAGTGACTGGTAGAGCTAGGTGTTTGGATTATTATTGTGCCAGTTGACACCTTTACCTGTAGGCTATGTGCCAGATTTTCTATACCTATACCGAGACTAATTATTAGCCTCCTATGTATTTTAAATATTGTCATATCACTTTAATTTTTGATTTTTGATAATTGATGAACATTTTAAATAAGATTTTTGGCTATTTGCAGTATTTCTTTGCTGCATTGTTCACCTTTCATTTTTTTTTCTCTGTTTGAGTTCTATAAATATTAAAAAGTTGTCTAATTGCTTGTGGTATATGCTTTTATATTTTCCCCTAGATTATTGTTTGCCTTTCAGATTAGTTTATAGTATATTTTGGTGAACTAAAGTATTTATTTATTTTTATTTATGCATTTTTTGAGATGGCATCTCACTCACCCAGGCTGGAGTGCAGTGGTGCGATCTCCCCTCACTGCCTCAGGTTCAAGTTATTCTCCTGCCTCAGCCTCCTGAGTAGCCAGAATTACAGGTGTTCACCACCACGCCCAGCTAATTTTTCTATTTTTAGTAGAGACAGTGTTTCACCATATTGGCCAGGCTTAGTTGGGTAGGCTGGTCTTGAACTCCTGACCTCAAGTGATTCACCCACCTAGGCCTCTCAAAGTGCCAAGATTATGCATAGAAGCCACCATGCCTGGCTAAAGCATTTAATTGAAATGGACTATTTTTAAAGAGCAGTTTTAGGTTACAGGAAGATTGTGCAAAAAATACAGAGTTCTCATATATTCTTTCTTTCCTTCCTTCTCCCCACTTTCTCCTGTTGCCAACATCTTGCATTAGTGTGCTACACTTGTTACAGTATTAAAACATTATTATTAACTAACCTCCCCAGTTTATCTTAGGGTTCAGTTTTTGCATTGTACAGCTCTGCAGGTTTTGGAAAGTGTGTAATGACCAGTATCCACCATTACAGTATCACACAGAATAGTTTTACTGCCATAAAAATCCCCTCTGCTCCATCTATTTATCTTCTTCTGCTTCCCCCGAATCCCTGACAACCACCAATCTTTTTATTATCTTTATAGTTTTGCCTATTCCAGAATGTCATATAGTTGTAATCACATAGTATGTAGCTTTTCCAGACCAGCTTGCTTTTACTTAGCAACATGCACTTAAAGTTTTCCATAGCTTTTCCTAGCATGATAAATCACTTCTCACCACTGAATAACACTCTGTTGTATTGGTGTACTGCAGTTTGTTTATCCATTATCCTATTTCAGGGCATCTTGTTTGCTTCCATCTTTTAGCGATTATGAATAAAGCTTCTGTAAACATTTGTGTGCAGGTTTTTGGGTGGGCATAAGATTTCAGGTCATTTGGGTTAATTCCAAGGAATGTAATTGTCAGATCTTATGGTCAACCTATTGTGACTGTACCACTTTGCATCCCCATGAGCAATGAATGAAAGTTCCTGTTGGTCCACATCCTCATCAGCATTTGGTGTTGCCAGTGTTTTGCATTTTAGCCATTCTAGTAGGTATGTGGTAGTATCTCATTGTTTTAATTTACAATTCTCTATGACAATGGATGTTGAGCATCTTTTTATATGTGTATTTGCCATTTGTATATCTTCTTTAGTGAGGTGTATGTTCAAATCTTTTGCCCATTTTGTAGTTGGGTTGTTTGTTTACTTACTGCTGAGCTTTAAGCATTCTTTGTATATTTGACTACAGTCCTTTATCAAGAATATTTCATTTTAATATAGTCAAAATAATTTATTTGCTGGCTTTTGTCATTGTTATTAGTCTTTAAAAAGCTTACTGTCCTTCAGGTTATAAATATTGCCTTGTATTTTTTGACAATTTTATGATTTCCTTTTAAGAGATATATTTAGAAATTCCATTTTGGGGAAGAGATTATTTTATTTTTTCCTCCATTTAAATCCACTTAGATATAATTGCCTTGCCTAGTTTTGACAACCATGCAATGGAAAACTGGGGACTAATGGTATTTGATGAATCGGTATTGTTGCTGGAACCAAAAGATCAACTGACAGAAAAAAAGACTCTGATCGCCAACATTGTTTCCCACGAGATTGCACACCAGGCATGTGGTAAAATGTTCTTTTTATTTCATGTGAAGTTATTCTTCAGGTGCTCTACCAAAATAGCATAAAAACCTTAATAAGAACCTGCCATATACCACATTTTAAAAAGAAAAACACCCCAAAGTATGGCAGTGAGTAAAAACAGGGAAGACTCAGATTCTGGTGGATTTGAGCTATTGGTGGCAGATCCTAGTGAGGTCTTACAGTTCTGCTGAGGGTTGGGTATCTACATCCAACAATTAACTTTGCTCCACAAAGTCTTCTTCAGGAAAAGTAACCCATGTAGACACAGGAGTATTTTTTTTTTCATTTCACCTAAAATACGGGATATTCAAAAGGATCACAGAAAGATTCCCTCATTTCATCAGCAGATTGTTATAAATTTCTACTTGTTGTTGGAGAGAGGTTAAACGGATGCAGGTAACACATTAATTAGGTGGAAATAATTAGCCCTTGGGCTACATTCCCAATGGTGGCATAAATGACAATTCGTTTCATCAGGTCTATTTGCTTTTGCATTGGGATTTTAGAAGTTTAGCTGTTTAATTTGATGATGAAGATTTTCATGTCTGCATTTCAGTGTCTGCTCCATTCATACCAGTTTGTTAAGAAAGAAATAATCTCAGGCCGGGCGCGGTGGCTCAAGCCTGTAATCCCAGCACTTTGGGAGGCCGAGGCGGGTGGATCACGAGGTCAAGAGATCGAGACCATCCTGGTCAACATGGTGAAACCCCGTCTCTACTAAAAATACAAAAAATTAGCTGGGCATGGTGGTGCGTGCCTGTAATCCCAGCTACTCAGGAGGCTGAGGCAGGAGAATTGCCTGAACCCAGGAGGTGGAGGTTGCGGTGAGCCGAGATCACGCCATTGCACTCCAGCCTGGGTAACAAGAGCGAAAGTCCGTCTAAAAAAAAAAAAAAAAAAAAAAAAAAAAAAAAAAAAAAAAAAAAAAAATCTCAACTGTGTTATCTTAGTAATGTGGCTCCGTTTGGAAAAGCACAATTTACTAGGATTCAACAACACCCTGATGCACAGTAAAATACACATATTCACAAGTTTTATTAAGTCACCCAAAGTGTCATTTTTTAGTATAGTCTAAGTGACACATTGTTTTGGAATACAGGCTGTTAGTAATTATAGCTGTTATAAGAATTTAGTTAAATACCAGGGCTTGGGTTTGTTAGTTTGGAAATCATTGTTTTTCTTTCCTAATCCTGTTCATCATCCATTTGACACTGATTTTTTTTTTTCTGTTTAACTCAAACAGAAAATAATTACAGCTGAGCCATATTGCAAAACATACGATTACTTGAGTGATTTGTACATGGCACAGATCAAATTATAAAAGAATCTTAAAACATAACTGCTTAAAGTAAAATCCAATTGCAACCTATTTAGAGTATAAGGAGCTAGAATTTGTAGGTGGTAAGTCAGCATTCAGGGCTTCTGTTTTATGGAGCTAAAAACAACTTTTGGGCCAAGTAGACAGTTTAAGAAATGCTATTATAACTGACCTTATGTTTAAACATTGCAGTTTTAAAACAAAAATTGCTTTCAGTCATTGGACATGGAATATTTCTGAGAAATGCATGACTAATATCTCATTATGTGAAAACAACAACATGTTTTCTGGTGTCCTGACTTCAAGTTTTGTTATTGATGGCAAATACATTTTAATTATGTCTTTTAAACTTACATTTATTTACAATTACAATGAATATTGTAATTACCATGAAAATAACTTAAAAATTAAATTTAAGAAAGCTCTTTTATTTTTCTCATTTCCAAAAGTGGTTTGGAAACTTGGTTACCATGAATTGGTGGAACAATGTCTGGCTCAAGGAGGGTTTCGCATCTTATTTTGAGTATGAAGTAATTAACTACTTTAATCCTAAATTCCCAAGAGTAAGTATGTTTATTAAATTTATTTAACATTTTTTTCCTAATTATAAAAGTAAGGCATATTGATTCTTAAAAATATATAAAATACAGAAAAATACAAGAAATGCTAAATTACCTGTAATACCTGAAATTATTTGTGATATCTTTTTGATATTTTTTATTCCAGGCTTTTAATCTATTGTAGATGTTTTTGAAAGTGGGAATTACATAAAAATTTGTATTGCTTTTTCTACTTCGTATTCGACTTCATATTTCTATTTCATAATCATGAGCATTTCTACCAATCAATTATTAGATCTTTTTTAAAGAGAAGATTTTAAATGACTGCCGAATATTATTTTCACTTATTCCTACTATATCTATTCCTTATTCCTACTACATCTATAGTGTAGGTCTCACTCTGTCACCCAAGCTAGAGTGCAGTGGTGCAATCTTGACTTACTGCAGTCTCAACCTCCTGGTCTCAAGAAATCCTCCCACCTCAGCCTTCCGAGTAGCTGAGACTACAGGTGCATGCCACCATGCTCAAATAATTTTTGTATTTTTTGTAGAGATTGGGTTTCTCCATGTTGCCCAGACTGGTCTAAAACTCCTGGATTCAAGGGATCCACCAGCCTCAGCCTCCCAAAGTGCTGGGATTACAGGCATGAGCCACCACGCCCAACCTAGACCGTATTTTAAAGTAGTGCAGTAGTGTATGACTTTTACGATAAGTAATATGCTACTTCACATTTAATATTATTACTGATATTGTTTTGCTAATTTGAGTAAATAGTAATATTGAAAAATAAATACATACATGTGCAAATCTAATTCTTTCAACTGTAGGTTTCACTTCTGATATTTAATTTATGTAGAGTAATTAGCTAGTGCTTTTAGAATGCCATGATAAAGCCAAATTGATTTAATTTAGATATTTAAATGTTTAGACTTCATGTTATCTTTTTTTTTTTTTGAGACAAAGTCTTTCTCTGTTGCCCAAACTGAAGTGCAGTGGCGTGATCTCGTCTCACTGCAACCTCCACCTCCCTGGTTCAAGCTATTCTCCTGCCTCAGCCTCCCGAGGAGCTAGGACTACAGGCACATGCCACCATGCCCAGCTAATTTTTGTATTTTTAGTAGAGACAGGGTTTCACCATGTTGGCCACGATGGTCTCTTGACCTCATGATCTGCCTGCCTCGGGCTCCCAAAGTTCTGAGTTTACAGGAGTGAGTCATCATGCCCGGCCCATGTTATCTTTTGATATAAACCTCACTTCTTTTATAAACCAGTGGTCTTTTCTTGGTTTGCATCTTCTCCTCTCTTCTGTCTCCTGTAACCTCTCTGGTTCTCAGGATTGCTCCTTCCTGCCTTTCTTTGCCGGTCTCCATCTCATCTCAGCTCCCAGTTGTTCCAAGGCTAGATTATTCACCTCTTTTCTCTTTACCTTCACTCATTCAAAGGTTTATTAAAATTGAAATACTATCTCCACTTCTTGGATCTTCTTTACAGACTAAATCTATTCATTCTGAAGGAGATTCTCAGATGATGTTCTTTCTATTATTTTGGAAGTAAGCTTTTCTTCTTTTACGGAAGTTGATAATGGATGGTAGGTAGGTGGTACTTGTTTTGGTTGATAGTTTGGCAGGAAAAAAAGTTGACAAGCCTATCTTGGTGCCACAGAAACCTTTTTTAAAACCTCTTTTCATCTATTTGTGAAATCACAGCATCTGGGAAGCACTGATGTAGTGCAGGCTTTTAACACTCAAATTCCATGCCACCTCGTCACCCTTCACAGGCATCCTGTAAGATGCCCCCAGCCCAGTCACTCTGCAGCACCTCTCTCTTCCTCCCCCTGGACTGTGCACAGGCCCTTCTTGTCCTGGAGGAAATTTTGGACATCATTATATAGATCATCATTATATAGAAAGTTTGGACATCATTATATAGACTGAAGTACTAAAAGGTTAAATGACTCTAAATGACTTGCCCAAGGTAATTTGCCCAATTGATACAGGACTGAGATTATAACCAGTTGTCTGGGTCTAGTCTGATGACAAGGATAATGATGGTAACAGCAATAATACTGTATTTACCATTCAATCAGGACTTAGAACTTAAGTGCCAGGCACTGTGAGCTCTATACATACATCATCTTACTCAGACGTCAAACCAACCATATGAGTGTTGTTGCTATTTCTGTTTTACAGGTGAGGAAACTGAGGTATAGAAGCATTAAGTAAGTTGCTCAAGGTCTCATAGTTATTAAATATCAGAGCTGTGATTCAATTCCAGGTCACGCTGACAGTGAAGCCCATGCTTTTAACCACTGTGCTCTATAGCAAAAACACAATGGAGAGTTCTTATCCTCAAGAAGCTAATTGGCAGTTGGGGGAGGGAGGGAAAGGGAGAAGGTTTGTGTCTTCAATATATGATCGTATGTATATATATGTATATATATACACACACTTTATCTACATATAGTATGTCTTTATTGTCTTAGCTGTTTTGAACTGTCCTTTCCACTTACTCTATGCCTACAAAAGTGTTTGTATCTCTTTCATGGCTTTTATTCACTCATGGTTAGTGCCATCTATAAGTGCTTTTAAAAGCAGTTGTTTAGACCCTAAATTAACTCTGTGGATAGAATAAATAAGGGAAGAAATTTAATTTCCATAAGACAATGAAATTTACCGCATTTTCTTAAGTTGATAGAATCCATCATGAACATCAATTTCAGTTACCTCTTATAACAACTAAAATGGTTTAAGTAATATCAGTATCTAGCAAAACTTCCCCAAAACATATTTCTGGTATTTTTTGAAGCTAAGATTTACAATGTTTGTCTCTTTTTGTGCCTTTTAATTATTTCCTTTTATCATTAGTTTCTTACCCATGTTTTCTACATCTCTTAGTTGCTCGTGGAGCTGAGTGAAAGCATCAGATCGTGGCGATTGAGGACATGCCATGATCTTTGTTTTTAAAAAGCTTAAGCTCTCCTTTCAATGATTTTTGGAGATCAAGAACCTTAACCTCTTTTTAATCTAGTAATATGATTGAAATTGAGTAACAGAGTCATAGACCCTTATGCAGAAACAGATTTTCAATTTTTTTCTATTTCAAAGTCTAATTTCAGCTGAAAGTCAAAGTCACCAAAGCATGATATGAATGGCTTATGGTCAAGGGGTCAGAACATTAAGAAGGAAGGCTTTCTGGAATTCTGAAGCTCTAGCCCTCACATTGCCACTTAATGACTTTCCTCCATCTTTCTGCTGCCTGATCTAAGAAAGCAGCAGACTTGGTGAAGGGAAAAGGTACATATGGGCACTGTGGTCATCAGATATTGCTCTGCCTTTACTATGATCATAAGCTGAGACAAGCAGATGAACACCTCTGAACTTTAGTTCCTCACTCGTAAAATGGGTTTCTTGCAGTCATTCCGTAGATGATAATGGCATTGCTAGGTACTGTTGAGACAACTACCATAAACTGACCATTAGTTTTATGTACTTATATAGAATTATTTATATTATCTCATTCAATCCTCAGGATAATTCTGAAGTATCATAATAAAAATAATAAGTAAACACAACAGTGGTTAATCCTTATTGAGCATGTCCTATTTGCTACCCATTGTGCTCAGAACATTATGTAAATTAATTTAGTTCTCATAATAATCCATTGAGGACATTGTTGTTTTACCCATTTTCAGATGGCAACTGAGTTTCAGAGAGAGAAAATCGGTGGTCTTTGATGAGTCACATAACTCCTAAAGGGCTGAGGAAGAATTCATACACAGGCACCTAAACTCCAAATCCTGTGTTTTTAACCACCATAATATTCTCTACAAATTTATTACAATAAATAGTGTTATATTTCTAAGGATAAGAGCAGATTTTATGCTGTGTTTGGTGGCTCACACCTGTAATCCCAACACTTTGGGAGGCCAACGTGGGAGAATCTCTTAAGCTTAGGAGTTTAAGACCAGTCTGGGCAACATAGTGAAATCCCGTCTCTACTAAAATTTTTTAAAATTAGCAGGGCATGATGATGCACCCTTGTAGTCCCAGATATTCAGGAGGCTGAGGTGAGAGGATTGCTTGAGCCTAGGAAATGGAAGCTGCAGTGCACTCCAGCCTGAGCAACAAAGTGAGACTCTGTCTCCAAAAAAAAAATAGAAGGAAGAAATTTTAATAGGTCTTCTCTGGCATATCACAGCTTGTGGGATAAAGTAATGGTGAATATATGGATTCATATTATCTAATCACTATATGCAGTATCTAGTTTTTTTGTTGTGTGTGTGTGTGTGTGTGTGTGTGTGTGTTTAAGCTGACATCATGTTTTATATGTTTCCTTCCAACAGAACCAAAACAGGCTACGGACAGCATCACTTTATGGCAGGCCCAGAGTAGAAAGGCCTCTAGGATGTTGATGAAGAGGTTACCTCATTTATCAGTTACCTTATATGGTTACAGTGGTATCAAGAAGGTTACATAAAACCTTTACCAGGCAGCCAGAAGAAGGAAAGACAATCCATTCTAATGGGGTTAGGGAAGACCCACAAAATATGGAGAAGCTGTATGAACAAAAATGTTCATTAAAACTGGTCAAAATAGTAAAAAGCTGAAAGCAACTTAAATGTCTAGCTAATAAAAGGGAAGTTATTAAATCAATTATGGTCCAATGACCCAATCGGTTATTATGCAGCTGTGTATTTATATATTTTAAGATTTTTCTTTTGCAAAAGTTTCATCTGCTGTACTTTGAAAAGAAAAAAATCATCTGTGATTTGATCACCCTGTGATAATCACTGCTAAGTTTTGGTTTATTTCCTTCCGATTTATGTTTCTATTTTCCTTATAATGCAGCAGCCATTATAAGGGATAATTATAAAGATGAGGTAGCAAAATTTTAAAATGCTATAATATGAACAAGATAACAAGTTTTTACAACTGTGGGAATAAATAGCACTTAGGAAAAAAGATGGAAAAGAACTACACTAACATTTTAATGGTGGTGATCTTCGGGTGTGATATTATGGATGTTTTTTATTTTCTCTATTTTCCACATTGTGCTTATAGGTCACCAGTGAGACACTCTCAAGAAGCCTTGAGTGTTAAACTAATAAAATCCATGCTTACTGATAGGATCAGACCTACGCAGATGACTCCTCCAAATCCTTGCTACTCAGTGTGATTATTAAACTAGCAACATCAGCATCATGGGGTAGTTTATTAGAAATATTAGATTCTTCTTCTGGCGTTACTTCAGGAAGAAATTGCTCTTATCTGTCTGAGAGAGAGAGCTGGTCTTTTGAAGAGTCCTATGGTTCTCATTAAAATATAATAAATTGCCTTCTCTTAATGCATGAGCCATAAACTGTAGTATCCAGTTTATGGATTTGTTTTCAATTTTCAATTACTACATCAGCATCTTTGTGAATTTGTAGATCTGGCATGCTTTTGGTTTGTAAATATTCATGAAAGAGAGACTGATTAATTTTAAGGAGTTATTGATAAAATTACCAATGAAATTTTAGAGAATTAAAACCACCTTAAGGAAGACCTTGTTAGGAGAGCCATGGACCTCCCTATGGGAAATGCAGTGGCTTTGGGGAACCACATTAACTTTTGTAATTGACTTTGTAAAAATTGAAATGAAAAAGGATACAAATAAGAGGGAAAGTATCCTACAGTTTTGTTATTCAAGAAATTCTGACTTATTTGGCATATTTCAACTTCTCAGTTACTGAATTTTTTCCTCTCTTCAATATCAGTTTTTGAAAGTATTTTAGGACCATTGTAGTTTGTTTTTCTGTGACACCTCAGGAGTTAATGTGGCTCAATCTTTTCCTTTATAGAATGAGGTCTTTTTTTCTAACATTTTACATCATGTCCTCAGAGAAGATCACGCCCTGGTGACTAGAGCTTTGGCCATGAAGGTGGAAAATTTCAAAACAAGTGAAATAGAGGAACTCTTTGACATATTTGTTTACAGCAAGGTAAAAGCAGTTAGAAATTTCCTTTGGTTCTGTACTCTTGTAGAAAGTTGCATATAATGGATTCCAAGGGTCCTATATCAATATGCAAGTTAAAACTTTTTATCAAAATAACCTTATTTTAATTCAATTCATGGGATTCAGAAAACATGATTAAATTAATTCTTACCTTGCAAATATCAATCAAGCCCATGTTAATGCTCAGTACCATTGACCATAGACTTTAACAACTTTCTACTTTCAAGGTGAACCCTTCTGCTTGGTGGAAATTTAATCTTGCCATGTAAAGATCTCAATTTTTTAAAATTTTATGTACTCTACATATGGGACATCTGCTTACCTTTTACCTCTCAATTAGTGACAGCCTACTATTTTATTAGCACATTTTGAAATAATTCAAACATTCAACTAAAAAGCAAAATGTGATCAGGAACACAGCTCAGAATATTGCTTATAAATATGGAATATGTCAGTATATGGATATTGAATTTTGTTCAAATAATGGACAACTTCTTTTGTCCTAGGGAGCGTCTATGGCTCAGATGCTTTCCAGTTTCTTGAATAAGCATTTATTTGTCAGTGCACTCAAGGTGAGTTTGCAAAATAATTGTTGCCTGGATGGCAGTAAACATAAACTGCATTGGCATGTTATTTATTCTAACCTTAACTCTTTTATTTTTACAGTCATATTTGAAGACATTTTCCTACTCAAATGCTGAGCAAGATGATCTATGGAGACATTTTCAAATGGTGATTGTCCTACTTTCTGACACGTTCTTGCTGAGTTGGTTTGTTTGATACAGGACAAGACTGGGAGGCCATAGGTGAATGGCAGTTCCATAGGAAAACAACTTTACCTTGTTATAGAACTGCCTTAGGTCATGGGTTGTGTCTTTAGTCTTCACTGTATTTCCAGTGCCCAGAACAGAGCATGGAACATGTTAGAACAAGAAATATGTGTTCAGAGAATGAATTAATGAACTAAAGAACCATTCCTATGTAGAGATAAACAGAGTTCTAAATTTGGCCCAGAAGATCACCCACCACAGGACTACTACATAAGTGAGGAAGAGAATAGCTACCAAGTTTCCTTTTGGAGATTGCTACTTCAAAACGTTTCACTGATAACCTTACCTGCTTTTGTGATGATTTTTTAAAACAGGCCATAGATGACCAGAGTACAGTTATTTTGCCAGCAACAATAAAAAACATAATGGACAGTTGGACACACCAGAGTGGTTTTCCAGTGATCACTTTAAATGTGTCTACTGGCATCATGAAACAGGAGCCATTTTATCTTGAAAAGGTTAAAAATCAGACTCTTCCAACCAACAAGTAGGTAGTTTTGCTCCTCTTTGTCTTCATCTTCCTTGGGTTGAGCTCTGGTCCAATGGGATCCAGCCTGTGGGTGGCGGAGCATTACCCCGACTTGGCACATACACTTCTGCAATATGACTATATACTGGGGTGAAGCAGAGACCCTGTGTCCTGGGCAATGCCGGAGACTTGAAGTTAGGGATTCAAGACAGTGCCCCTACCCTGAGATTTAGGGTTACATCAGCGCCAAAAGCTATGGGGTACTGTGTGTTCCTCTTCGTCCTTCAGACGGAGGTAATGAATTCCTTGGGATTCTGAGTGGGAGGCAATAAGATAGAGCCACAGATTGCCTTGTGTTAGTAAAGAGGAAAGGGAGTCTTGTTGCAGAGTAGTCTTCTCTTCCCTAGAAATGAAACTGAATGGTAACTATTTCCCTGAGGAAAATTCTGTATAGTTGTCTACATGTATGTGTGTGCATGCATGTGTTTGTGTATTTGTAGCCATACCCACACCATTAGAATTATGGTCTTTAGGGTCAATTAGACCTGGGCTCAAATATTGACTTCTCCAAAAATTCAAACCTTAGTTATTATTTAAGCTCTGTGAATTTCCGTTGCCTTATCTATATAGATGCAATAGCATGTATTCCAAAAGATTGTGTAAAAATGAAATTAGTATAAAATAACCTAGCCTTTATCCCTTTATTCTTCTCTTCCCTTTCTTAATTTGTTAGCTGATTTTCAACTGTTTTTGATGGTTTTAATCTTCACATTTTATTGCAATATCAGCACAAATGAGTAATTAATTTTCAAATACCATCACCAAAATTTTCAGATATTTCTACTCATTCTTTAAAGCCCCCAGAGGGAGAAATGGGAGACTCAAAGGTTCCTTTTCCCTGTAATACTCTGTGACTTTTGAGAAGATGAGTGTGTCTTAGCTATGTAGATAAACACAGACTCACAGTTGACAGTTTTGAAGACACCAGCCTTGTGGAAACTTAAGATTGGAAATATTGCCTAAACTCTGGGCAATATTCAGATAACAAATGTGCTTCCTGTGGTTGCCTACTTCATCCAGGTCACGTCCAGCAACGTGGGAAGAATGCAGGCATTCAATAAATATAAATGTTGTGACTGATTCCTGTTGAATACTTTTCAGATGGGGAGAACACTTGAGGTTGAAAGTATTTTGAAGTGTTAGTCAAGTGTTTTCTTCTAAACTACTTTTTACCTATCTGGGCATGGATTCAGTTAGATTGGGTTCTGTTTGCAGCATTTGAACTACCCTTGAGTGAAGCCAGGTGTCTATAATTCAACATACACAGGACTTGAAGGTTTCAGATATAAGAGAGTTTTAGTAGCTCCCTAAGTCATAAAAAGAAGTAAATCCATAAAACACAACAGGAGAGAGGAGTAAACAATAGCCAAAGTAAAACTGGCTTGTAAAAATAGCAGTGAATAATCCTAAGAACAAAGGCCTGCATATTCACACAGAATGACCAAACAATCTGAGTTCTGTGTGCTATTTCATCATCTCTTTAATACTGGCTCAGAGTGTCTATTCTCATGTGCGAAAAGTAACTAAATTTTTTATTTTCTTCCAATAAGTGGCACGTGGATTGTCCCTATTCTTTGGATAAAAAATGGAACTACACAATCTTTAGTATGGCTAGATCAAAGCAGCAGTAAGTAACACATTTTTCAAACATCTTTACATATATGCGTATATAAAGGCAGAGAATAAAATATTGAAATGTCTAGCTTTTAAAAAGCTATCTCATTTCCATTTTTTTGAGACTGAGTCTTGCTCTGTTGCCCAGGCTGGAGTGTAGTGGTATGATCTCGGCTCACTGCAACCTCCACATCCCAGGTTCAAAGATTCTCCTGCCTCAGCCTCCTGAGTAGCTGGGATTACAGGCGCACGCCACCATGCCCAACTAATTTTTGTATTGCTAGCAGAGGTGAGGTTCCACCATGTTGGTCAGGCTGGTCTCGAACTCTTGACCTCCCAAATTGCTGGGATTACAGGCGTAAGCCACCATGCTCAGCCGAAAAGCTATCTCATTTCAAACTGAAATATCACTCTTGTCGAACATAGAGTTTTAAAGAAAAGTGTCAAATCAAAAGCCATTTTATGTGAAAAATATAGAATTACATGGTAAGAGCAATATGTATTCTAGAATTCCTTTAAATTTTTGTTTTATTGGTTTGTTGTTTAGAATCAAATGTGTAGTATAAATAGGTATTAAAATCTTTTTAAAACGTACCATTTCAAATTATTCCCATATTCCTTTATAGAAGTATTCCCTGAAATGCGAGTTTCAGATTCTGACAATGACTGGGTGATTTTGAATTTGAATATGACTGGATATTATAGAGTTAATTATGATAAATTAGGTTGGAAGAAATTAAATCAACTACTTGAAAAGGATCCTAAGGTAAGGTTACTTTTGATACTTTTAATTAAATATAGTTTATAATGCCTACTCTAGTGTTTTAGAGGTTGAGCATTCTGGTGGGAAGACATTCCAACCCCATTCCTGCCCCTCATCTCCAGACATATGAAAGAGATGTTTTTTCTTGTTCTTAGCAAGTAGAGATTTTGATTAAATGTGTTGTGTTTTTGAACATTCATCTTACTTTTCCAAAACATTTCCTGGTTTTGGAAATCCAGGATGATGGATTCTATTCATCATTAGTTTTGTGATCTTTGGCAAGTTACTTAAATGTTCTGGTTCCATTTCTTCATTTTAAAATGAGAATATTATCATATTTTATTCATCATGAGGATTAGAGATGATGTAGGTAAAAGTATACTTAAAATTTCTAAACCCATAACAGGTACCCAGTAAATGTTAGAAAATATTAATTTTACTTCTAAAATATATTTCCACTCTACCTCAAAAGAGAGAATTTAGTTCACAAAACAATAATAATCCAGTATCACTTTATATTATAAAATAAGTATAAGTAATTATGCAGTGTATAAACACTAAAATGTTGGCCAGCTCTAATCAATCAGATTTTAATTGATTAAACTAAATTTCCATGAGCAGAGCTGGATGCTGGCTTAGGAGTCAGTACAGTTGGCTCTACTGTGACTTGCTGTGTACCCTTGGGTGGTTCATTTAGACTCCATTCACAAAGCTTGAGTGTTGAACTAAAAGATGTCTCTATGTTAAGTGTCTCTGTGTTTGAAAGTTCTCTGAGACACACAGCAGTCTCTCTAGCATATTGGTTTAGAGCTTAGGTTCTGGGTCAGAAAGACTTGTGTTCATATTTTGTTCATTGTTTGCCAGAGGTATGGCACATTCAAGCCAAATCTCCCCTTTTTAAGAATATAGAAAAAAAAATCTCTTCAGTATGCCTGGAGGTGAGCGGGGTGGGAATGAAGGTGGACTCTCTTCCTAACAGAAAGATCAACCATTAAAAGGCTAGAGAAGGCATCCTGGTTGTACCTCAGTTTCTTATATGTGTACTAATGGGTATGATATACCAAACTTACAGATTAAATAAGATAATATATGTATTATGTTTAACAGAGGCCTGACACAATTCAGGGATTCATGACATGTTCAGTAATTAAAACAAATTATTGGGATTTTGAATAAAGCCACAAAGGCCACTTACAATAATATTTTCTTTCCAAATCTTTTCAGAGTGGCTAGTTATAACATTTCTAAAAGCATTCTAAGCCATGCAAGCATGAGGTTATACCATTATAGTAATTTCTTGAAACCATTGTAGATTTATTCATTGAAAAACAAAGGCAACTTATTTCTACAACATAATTGGTGAGCAAATAAAAGAGAATCTTTATGATTAATATTAATCGAGAAAATGTTAGTACTACCAGAGAAGAAATTAGACTATACCAGCTGAAGAATTAAACTTGACTTGCTCAGATGCTTAAAGAAATGTTGTGAAGATAAAGTCTTTGGACCAAATATATCACAGTGCTGAGAGTTGCTGAAGGTGTGATGTAGGAGGCCTTGGACACCCTTAGGGTCTGAGCTGAGAGCAGAGTCCGATGGCCTGGCAGTGCCAAGGAGTTCAAACAGAAGCCTAAAGAAGTACACTGGCAATTGGCCTCTGCTGTTTCATGGATATAAAGGGATCTGTTGGTGGCATTCTGTCACATTAGTAAAATCTTTAGATAAATACCATGTAAAAAAATATGGTACCTCAATGTTACCAAAATAGCACTAAATAATATTTATTTAAGGACTTCCATGCCAAAAACTTCCCTGAAACTAATTTGGATGTTGTAATACAATTTAATGTATACTTGTTTTGGACAGGTCTTCTAAATTTGGTTGCCTGTTTATTTTTTAACATGGTGTGTTTCGGGAGTATTTTGGCAAAACTCTCTGCCCTATTTAAACTTTATAATTGATGTCCAGAGGGGTCATTTATTTAAATAAAATAAAAAAAAAACCATATATGATAAATAAATTATGAGGTCTATCCTTAGTAATTATTGTTTCTCTGCAGATGAGATAATTCATGTGAAGGTGCTTTATAGGCAGCAGTAATCTCTAAATTGTTGTTATTTTGAAAACTTTTTACTGAAAAATGTTCTCATATTTTCCTGCACATATTTGGGTCTAATTCTGTAGGCTATTCCTATTATTCACAGACTGCAGTTGATTGATGACGCCTTTTTCTTGTCTAAGTGAGTATGTTTTCTTCTCTCACGGTTTTAGAATGTACCTTGAGACCTTTATAAAAATAATAGCCTCATCACTATGAATTTGATTATTTAGCATATATAGGCCTAACTTATTAAGATTAGGATGAAGTTCTATAGCTGCAGTGGAATTTTACAATTTAATAAGTTGCTGGAAATAAAAAGACTACCAGTTGAGATTTTGCAGTGATTTCTGTTATCCAAGGGTGATGGCTATAATTTTAATGCAATCTTGCCTGTATTTTAGTATATTGCAGAATTATTTATTTTATTTACATTAGATTTACTCAGTGTAAGATATGCTAAGTGTTTAACCAGGTAAGTTAATAAATGTTCAAAATTTAAAGTTTCAGCCAATAAAATTAAGAAATATATGTAATAAATTAGTATTTTTTCTCTTTCTTTGGCCAGCCATATGTCTTAAATAAATGTCTACTTATTTTATACTTCTTTACTACTTTTTCTCTCTGTGAACTGCAGCACATTTCTTTGTCTAATACTTTGCTGAAAATCCAATCCCTCTCTCTAAGATTACTGTAACTTTGATATTATTCACTATATCGTTCTGAAAATGTCGCTTTTGCTTCTTGAGATGGGACCTCCCGTATCTGACTCCTCTTCTATTGCTATGAGCTCTCTTAACACCAATTATAGTTATATTACTTTCTTCTGTCTTTCTTTTGATAACTCATTCACTCTTGGGTTTTGGTGATCATTTTATTGCGTATCTGTAGAGTGCCAGCAGATGTAAGATCCTCATTAAACGTTTGTAGAAGGACTTGTTGATGACTTACAAATCTACATTGCTACTTATCTTTCCACCTGTCTCAGGTTTATCATGTGGTCATCCAAATTCAGTGCTGTAAACACTGAACTTCATTTTTGCCTCTACCTTGCTCTTACTATCAATTTCTCTCTGCATGTTAAAGGTACTACTGTTCTTCTCATCACCCAAACTTGAAACCTCAGAAATATCCTTGATTCTTCTCTTTGCCTCATCTTACATGCACAGTCACCAAGTCCTATCTCTCCATTCTTGGAAATGTCTTTTGGAGGCTCACCTTACCATTTTCACTGCTTCCACACTAAGCCAAGCTTTCATCATCTCTTGCCTGGCCTATTAAATTAGACTCCAGCCTTCAGTCCTTTTGAATTTCATCTGTCTTCATTAACACTACTGCAATAAAATTGTTAGACATCAATTTCGTTATGCTATTCCAATTGTTTAATGCCTAGAGTACCTTTCCACCTAATCTAAACTCTTCATCCTGACATGCAAGGATCTGCACATGTCTGAGCCAACTTACCTATTAGGCCCCATTTCTCACTATGCACAAAGGAAATACCCTGCCTCAGCTTGGTCTGCCCATCATACTAATTCCCACCTTATCTTCTTTCTCCTGGGCTGCCTTCCCCTTTTTCTACCTATTTTAATCCTATGCATCCTTCTCTGCTCTTCTCAAGTTCCTTCTCTATGAAGCCTTCCCTGACTCTTCTCTCTTACCCCTGACTTTTCCATATGCATATTTTTCTTCTTGGCTGTTTTATAGTATTCATTGCCTTTTCTGGGATCTTTCATTAGTAGCTTCTTATGCATAAGTCTTAGCTCTTCACTGAAGCTTCTCAATGGTTTGCAAGGGCAGTGTCATATGTACCACAGGCATACCTCATTTTATTGGCCTTTGCTTTATTGCACTTCACAGATATTGCATGTGTTACAAATTGAAAATTTGTGGCAACGCTGAGTCAAGCAATTCTATCAGCATCATTTTCCAACAGCATGTGCTCATGTTATGTCTCTGGGTCACATTTTAGTAATTCTTAAAATATTTCAAACTTTTTTTCATTATTGCTATATCTGTTACAGTGATCTGTGATCAGGCTTTGTCAATGTTATAACTGTAATTGTTTTGGGATGCTATGAACCAAGCCTGTATAAGGCAGAAAACTTAATCAGTAATTATGTGTGTTCTGACTGCTCCGCTGGCCAGCCATTCCTCCACCTCTCTCCCTCTTCTCTGGCCTTTCCATTCTCTGAGAAGCAGTAATATTGAAATTATGCCAATTAATAACCCTACCATGGCATTTAACGGTCCAAGTGAAAGGGGGAGTCATGCATCTTTCACCTTAAATAAAATCTAGAAATGATTAAGTTTAGTGAGGAAGACATGTTGAAACTGAGATAGGCCAAAACTAGGCCTTTTGCACCAAACAGCCAAATTGTAGATGTAAAGGATAAATTCTTGAAGGAAATTAAAAGTGCTACTCCAGTGAATACATGAATGGTAAAAAAAAAAAAAAAAAAAAAAAAAAAAAAAAAAGGTAAAGCAGCATTATTGCTGATATGGAGAAAATTTGTATGATTTGGATAAAAGATCAAACCACCCACAACATTCACTTAAACCAAAGCCTAATCCAGAGCTAGGTCCTCACTCTCTTCCATTCGATTAAGGCCAAGAGAGGTGAGGAAGGTGCAGGAAAATGTGCTAGTTTAAAGCTAGGAGAGGTTGATTCATGAAGATTAAGAATCCATCTCCATAACAAAAGTACAAGGTGAAGCAGCAAATGTTGATGTAGAAGTTATAGTAAGTTATCCAGAAGATCTAGCTAAGATAATTGTTAAAATAGCTGCACCAAGCAATAGGTTTTTAACATGAAACAGTCTTATATTGGAAGAAGATGCCCTCTAGGACTTTCATAGCTAGAGAGGACAAGTCAATGCTTGTCTTCAAAGTTTCAAAGGACAGGCTGACTCCCTTGTTAGGGGCTAATGCAGCTGGTAGCTTTAAGTTGAAGCCAGTGCTCATTTACCATTCTGTAAATCCTAGGGTCCTTAAACATTATGCTAAATCAACTCTGCTTGTGTTCTGTACATGGAACAACAAAGCCTGGATGACAGCACATCTGTTTACAGTATGGTTTGCTGAATATTTTAAGCCCATTGCTGAGATCTACTGCTCAGGAAAGAAAAGATTCTTTCCAAAGTATCACTGCTTGTTGACGATGCACTTGGTTACACAAGCACTATAATGGAGATGTACAAGGAGATTAATGTTGTTTTCATGCCTACTAACACAACATCAATTCTTCAGCCCACAGATCAAGGAGTAATTTCTACTTTTAAATCTTATTATTTAAGAAATACATTTCATAAAGCTATAGCTTTCATAGATAATGATTCCTCTGATGAATCTGGTCAAAGTAAATTGAAAATCTCTGGAAAGAATTCATCATTCCAAATGCCATTATGAATATTTGTGATACATGAAAGGAGGTAAAAAAAATCGGTATAAATAGGAGTTTTGAAGAAGTTTTCCATCCTCATTGATGACTTCAAGAGGTTAAGATTTAGCAGAGGCAGTCACTTCAGGTATGGTGGAAATAGCAATAGAACTAAAATTAGAAGTGGAGCCTGAAGATGCAACTGAATTGCTGCAATCTCATCATAAAACTTGAATAGAGGTGAAGTTGCTTCTTATGAATGAGCAAGAAAAGTGATTTCTTGAGAAGGAATCTAATCCTGGTGAAGACGCTATGACCATTGCTGAAATGACAACAGAGGATTGAGAATATTATGTATACTTCGTTGTTAAAGCAGCAGCAGGGTGTGTGAGAGGATTGACTCCAATTTTGAAAGAAGTTCTGCTGTGGATAAAATACTATTAAACAGCATCACGTATTACAGAGAAATCTTTTGTGAAAGGGAATTGAGCAATGTGGCAAACTTTATTGTTGCTTATTTTAAGAAATTGCCGTAGCCACCCCAGCCTTCAGCAACCACCACCCTGATCAGTTAGCAGCCAAGGTTACAACTTGCTGAAGGCTCAGATTGTTGTTAGCATTTGTCGACTATAAACTACTCTTAAATTAAGATGTGTAAAACTGTTTTTCCCTGATATAATGCCATTGCACACTTAATAGACTACGGTATAGTGTAAACATAACTTTTATATGCACTGGAAAAATCAAAAAAATCATATGAATTCCTTTATTATGATATTTGTTTTATTGTGGTGGTCTGGAACAGAATCCACCATATCTCTGAGGTTTGCCTGTAGTTGATGTGCACATAAGTAGCTGGCAGAGCATTAGATAGAGAATTACTTCAAATTAATACTTGTTGAGTGCAAATTATACTCTCATAAGAATGCATACTAAATGCATAACTCTTCTATTTCCTAATAATCAGTCCAACATTTGGCCTGAATTTTCTCTAGTCTTCAAGACTTTGGACACGTTAAAGTACCAAATTGAAATGGAGGGCTTGTCAACTTTGCTTCGGTTTCATCTTTTCTATAAGATGAGACGCTTACCTTCTTGTTCTTGACTTACTCACATGCCTTATTGAAGTCAGGCATTGAAACATGGAATAAATGTCAAACGCTTACTCACATGCCTTATTGAAGTCAGGCATTGAAACATGGAATAAATGTCAAACGCATGCCAATTATTTAGCAAGTGAAGGTTTTTTGAGTGTGTGTGTTTTTAAATCAAACAGAAACAATTATATTGAGATTGAAACAGCACTTGAGTTAACCAAATACCTTGCTGAAGAAGACGAAATCATAGTATGGCATACAGTCTTGGTAAACTTGGTAACCAAGGATCTTGTTTCTGATGTGAAGAACTCTGATCTATATCCGTTATTAAAGGTAATTTCATCTTTCTTATGTAGTTTTTAAACAAATCCTTTCTTCTTCTTTTCATATTGTAGCCAGCATCCGTAAGACAGGTCTTTTCCATTGTTAAGAAAGTAAATGTACATTTATTTTATAAAGAAAATAAATATATAAATAAAAATATACTTTTAAATTATATATATATATATATATATATATATATATATTTTTTTTTTTTTTTCAATGACTGATTGGGCTTTGAAATTTAAACCTTAGTCTAGACCTGGTCTAGGAGATGAGTGACGATTGGAGGGGTACTTCATTCTTGGTGAAGTGAGGGTGTCCTAAGAAACCAGAAGTGGATGGAAATGGTATGCCCAGTTTTTTTTAGGAAAAAGGATAATATTTATTAGCAACTATTTTCCTGAGAGATTGTTAGGCAAACAGAATGACTTTTAACAACTCTGTGTTTAAAATTGCAGTATTCTTATCCATAGCAATAGCACTTAAAACCAGAGAGATATATTCTAGAAAATGTAAAAATATGAAGATGCTTTTGATGTTAGGAAAAGAAAGGGGGAAATTAGAATTAGTGAACAGAGAAATGACATACCATCATAAATGAAAATATATATTATCCATTGTTAGGTCTTAAACAGTAATTACAGGAGAAAATGGCAATGATAAAATCAATGCAAAAGTTAAGGAGCCCTCTTTGGGGAATTAGGGGTCACACAAACCAAAAAGTATGTTAGGTGATGATTTCAAGTGAATTTCTAGGCTATTCTGAGGGTGAGATTGCAAATACCTCTTACAGTTCCAGATTTTCTTTTTCCTAATAATCAAAGTACCTGTGGGAATTTAGTTGATCTTGAGATGGTGATTAATAAAAGAAGGCACTGAAATTTTGGTGGGATTGAGGGAGCTCATTGATGACATCTGATGACTTGTTCTGGGTAAAGAAGTATAACTACTATTTGTTTTTAAAGAATTTCACTGAGCAGCATCTAGTTAATTCTTAGGGATTTATTAATAAATGTATAACTTTTATAATTTTATATTTACCATCTGATAGCTTAGTTGGAGAAACTTTATTTCAGAATCAGGGCTTCTTGACATTTCTTCTCTATTTTGAACATAATTGGAAATGTATCAGATGATGTTAAGCGATAATAGTAGCTGATTTTTTTGAGTTCTTGCTTTGTGTCAGGAAATGTGCTTGCAATATATTATTTAATCATCACAATACACTGTAACATTGGTATTATGGTAAACCACATTTTATGTAAAACGGAACTAAACCCAAAGATGTAAAAAATAAACCAGTTACATATTTAGTAACAGAGAATTTCTGAAGAAATATCTGCCACTCCTCTATCAATATCTTTTCAGATAAATAAATAGGAACATAGTGAAAATTCAGTTTTGCAAGCCAGAACTAACAGTGTATTTTCTTTGTTGTTTATAGAAGTATCTATTAAAGAGACTTAATTCAATATGGAATATTTATGTAACTATAATTCGTGAAAATGTGTTGGTATTACAAGATGACTACTTAGCTCTGTAAGTATATTTTAAGAAATGGTAATTGAATAAAATACATTCATATTAATAGGCTTCCAGAAGTCATAAAATAAAATCTTCATATCCGTTATTCATTGAGAGATTTTGTATGCTATTAGTATTTGAGAACAATAGCTCAGAGATTGGTGGGCTACATGTATTCTAAGAGAAGATGGTCAATTTGAGATCTTAATTTACCTGCAAAGCACATGCATGTACACACAGGAGCTTATAGCTCTATATTCTCAAAGCTTAGACTACTGGTTGAAATCATAAATGTGTCCTACTATTGGTGAAGATGTGCTCAGCAAAGCTAGCCTATACCAGTGAGTTGATGGGCATGGAAAAGCCATGGGGGAAAAGGTCCCCTCTGTACATTGTTGTTAACAGAAATCCTGTCATTATGCAGATAAGATGAGGTAGGTAGACAGTGATATAGATCAGTTATTGGTGTATGAGCATGAGTTAATATCACAAATGACTTTCATATTACTGGTCGGGTGAGGAGAGTAAGCATGTTGTCATGGTGGTCTGGGAAGGAGGCAAGAGGCAAAATGGAGTGGTAGTATTTCTGTCTTTCTTGTGCCCTAAGTTTTGTGTGTAGGATGGTCTCTAGATTTAGGGAGGGACTCTGTAGCCAATAACAGTACGGGGATTATACCTACAACTTCTGGTCAAGTTCAAACCAATTAGACCAAGCAAGAAAAACAAAATATACAAAGTATGATTGTTCTCTCTCAATAGTACTCTTCTGAGAGGGCCAAAATTTTAGTGCTAAGGGATGTGACTGGAAGGACATAGAATGGAATGGATGAGTAGGGGTACAATGGTAAGGACTAGCTAGGATCGAGAGTGGATAGGCAATTTGTATGAGTGAATGCGAAAGCAGTGTGCTCAATCAGACAGCACATTTGTTAACTAGACATATCCTTGGCTCTCCTAAATTAGACTGAAGTGGCCTACTTTTTATAGCATCCCAGGGCCAGTTCTCTTCAGAGCAGCCCTGGGGAGTTGGACTGCACTTCCACAGAACTCCAGCTTGTTGCCACCAGCTTGGGATTGGGATGGGTGGGGTCAGGGAGTGAGTACACATGTAGATGAATGCCTAGAGCTCTCAGAGGGCCTCCAGCCTTGGACATTCCTCTTTAGTTTATCAGAAGGTCATGTCAGGCTGGGTTGAAACTGGAGGATGGAGTAACAGAAATCTGGCTCTTGCATTTTCTGGAAACTTAAGGCCGATTTGTGTTTCTTGACCCTTACCCCAAACCTGGAGTAGGGACCACAAGGCATCACTTACCTGGATTTATTACTGGTCTTCACTGTATTCTTTTGAACTTATTTTGTTTTGAAGTACAATGTATTCCCCTTCTCAGCTGTAAAAACCAACGAAACCAACCAAACACTGTTATTCTTTTTCTTTATTCTTTTAACATGTACATAACAGTCAGGGGGAGTAGAAGAAACACCAAAACAAGAGAAAACAAATTGTAGAAGGGGAGAAATGAACTATGCCCTTTCCCTTTCTTGTATAGAGAAAGAACTTTATTTTAAAGTCTGTTAGATTAGATACTCTAAAATCATTTTTTTATCCATAAGGGAATTCTAGTAAAAGGGAGGAAAAATAAATTGACAACAGCTGTGGAGCCTGGGTACACCCATGTGTGCTTGAGGGAGATGAAGGATGGCAGCAATTTGTTTCTAACTTTCAGAAAGTACTAGTCTTAGAAACTTTTTTTGGTGCCTAAGAGCCTCTCAGGAAATATTTCTACGAATCTTAAATACATCTGTCATCCACAAAAGCAATTTTTTTAAACAAACTTGATGTCATTGAAAGGATATTTAAAAATACCCATCCTTTTATAAAACACACATTCTTGGAGGCAGAGAAAATGAAGGTGGTAATGCAAAATGAACTGTTTTTCTTTGACTTTTTCTTCAAGAATATCACTGGAAAAACTTTTTGGAACTGTGTGTTGGTTGGGCCTTGAAGACTGTCTTCAGTTGTCAAAAGAACTCTTTGCAAAATGGGTGGACCATCCAGAAAATGAGTAAGAGTAATATAATTCCTTACGTTTTTGTCCTTGTATTTTAGCCCGAGCAATTTCCCTTTTTGATGTACTCACTGTGGGAATGAGTGTTTTGCCTTCACTTGGCTAAGCGCTTTCTCCTACTATTCTTTTAAAATACCTTTTTTAAAAAACCAGTGTTTAATGTGGGTGTGTGTAGAACAACAGGTTAGAATTTATACAATGAATCATCACCCAGGACCTCTCATTCCCAGTGCATTCTTCCAATAAGCACTTAGTTTTAGCTTTCTATGCTTGTTTTGAGTCTTAATAGGTTGTTTTTTCATGATTTTTATATCTAAGAGTGCAGCAGAGCACCTCTCTCTCTCTCTCCATCTCTCTCTTAGTTTGTTGCCTCACTGAGTGCTGAGACTAACTCCCATTTTGGTTTTGTCAGCTTTAATATACCAACTCAGATGTACTCTTAGGAAATGTGATAATGAGATACAAGACCAAACTGTATTATCAATATACACTATACTACTCTAATTTACTTCTTTCTTAAAGCTCCTTAGTTTGGAATTTGATGATCTCTTCTCATGGAATTAATGCTAACGTCAGTTTTGACAATTGCCTCTCTAGATCCCTACTTTTGAACTTTATCTGTGTCTTCAAAGATTTTTTCTAGATTTATACTTCTAAAATATGGTAACCTGGATCAACATATAACTTAACTGCTGTGAAAAATAACATTGTATGTTATATCTTACAGAATACCTTATCCAATTAAAGAAGTGGTTTTATGTTATGGCATTGCCTTGGGAAGTGATAAAGAGTGGGACATCTTGTTAAATATTTACACTAATACAACAAAGGAAGAAGAAAAGTTTCAACTTGTTTATGCAATGAGCTGCAGCAAAGACCCATGGATACTTAACAGGTGATTATGGCCAGCTTACCTTGAGAGTTTCTGCTGGAGGAATGAAATTAATAAACTAAAGGGAAAAAATAGAAATGTGCTAATGTAAGTATTAAAATGATGCATATTTGTACCTCACTACCTTAGAACCGTGGGATTTTATCTCGTTTATTTAAACTAACTCTTTATGTTGGATGTTTAAAATGTATTTTCTACACATGCGCTTTTGCAGATATATGGAGTATGCTATCAGCGCATCCCCATTCACTTCTAATGAAACAAATATAATTGAGGTTGTGGCAGCATCTGACATTGGCTGGTACGTCGCAAAAGACTTCTTAGTCAACAACTGGAAAGCTGTGAGTAAAAGGTAAGAAGGAAAGTGAGACCTTTCTTTCATTTAGGTCACTGGTTTGGTGGTGGAAGCTCAGTTTTAGTCTAGCTAGGTCACAAAAGTCCTTTGCATTGACTAGAAAAGTGATCATGTTTCCTGTGTTTAGTCTCACTACAAACTGCCTGTGTTATGGAAGAGCAATGCATGAACTTTTAACTACAGCTTGAATATTATAGTTGACAAAATGAGGATGCCTATTCTACTTGGTATATTCACCTTAGTTCACTTCTCTTGCGCATTCTGCTACAAAATGAGTTTCAGACTCAAATTAATTTGCATTCGACATCTTATGCATTTATTTTTAGGGCTTAATTTATATTCAGCAGTCTTGCTCAATTTTGCTAATAGTTTTGTTTGAATAGACAATAACATGATTTATGAATTGTTGGAAATAAAATTTCAACTTAATAATTACAATTTTATACTCAAAATGGCACAGGAATACTTAGTTTTTTGCATATCTAAATATTTAATTATCACTAAACAGACATATTTGACATGATAATACGTATGTCACTAGTCCTCATGTAATGATGAAGATAGTATAAAATTATAAGTAAAAAATGCTTATGCCAAATTAAATTTTATATTAAAATGTAGAAAGTATTTGTACTGAATTTGCTAAAATGTGACTGAGCACTAACGAGTTTTTCTCAAGCACATCCTAGTGGATGCTACTCATGAAGATGGGGATGATAAGCCTTCTGGGACAGACAGAGACAATAGCTCAATCAGTTTCGAAACTGTTTTAACCCTCACTTTTGCAAACTCACAGTGAATTTTAGCATTATAAAGTCTCCAAGAAGCCCTGCAGAAGGAAACCTAGAGTTTTCCATACAGTTTGACTACATAGCATCTTCTAGGAATAGTTCTTCTAAACTCCAGCTTGGGATATGCTGATGTAAACAAAGTGTAATTTTGCCAGCAGAGTAATCGTTCCAGAAGAAACACAGACAGGAGAAACAAAATTTTCCAACCTACTCATTTGGAACTGGAACTAAAAAACCCCTTCGTTAACATTTAGGTCTTGGTTTCTTCTAGATGTATTTGATAAATTCTAAGATTCTTCCTGGTAATAAAACGTTTTAGTTTTTCTACGTCAAGGTGCAGTTCAAATTGTTATTGGGGATGTAAAGGGATTAGGACTTGGTATCTGATAAATGCTGTGGAGGAGAGATGGCAAGGGCTTTGGGGGTTTAAGTGGAAGAAAGGGAGGTGAGTGTGATTTGAACAAGCACAATTGCAAATCTCCTCCTTTTACCTGGAGGACCTAACACCAGGAAATACCTGGAGGCAGAGCTGGGAGGTCAACTTGGGACTAATTAAAGTGACTGGCTGGAGCTTAGAGCACTGGAGAGGAGATAGGAGTTGGGAAAGTAAGTTGAGGGTCAGGCATCATCTCCACACCGAGGCACATGTTGGAATTGAGTACATCATCGATGGCAGTGCAGGAACCTCTGGGCCTTTCAGTCAGGCCCAGAATTCTTCCCAGGAAGCCTACTCTGGAAATACATTTTGAAATATTTGATTGAATAAAACAACTTTTGGCTTGATCTTTATCCCTACTCTCATAGACAGAGCATTACACTGGTTGCTGTGGGAAAATTTAGTTAATTATTGGGCCAAAGATGATCTCTTGAATACTTATTCCAATGAGAAAGACTCCATTGGTCATAAAGCTATCTTTCAAGTTACAGAAAAGTCAATAGGTACACATAGCTATGAATAGATCCTATCTATGTAAATAGGGATGGAGCAATAGTTTTTTTGTGACTTCATTGGTTGTGGTAGAAGCGTTATTTGTGCCTTTATCATCTCTTAAATGGGCTTCACAGCATACAGAAAAACCATAGTTTAATTTGAATTTAGAATACAGAGCATGATCAGTTTTAAACTCAGCCTGTTCAAAATGAATCTTACCTTCTTCATTCACTAAGCACTTGATTTTTTTTTCTCCACATATTATTATATTCCCTAAAGTCTTAAGCTTAAAAACTTAAGCTTAAAAACATTTTCACTTCTACTTGGTTGTATTTCATGATGGGGAACACAGCTGAGAAGGCTAAACAGAAGCACAGCAAGGTGAGAGGTTATCAGAGCGGAGAGTCCAAGCACTGGGGGATCTGTTCCCATGGCGTGGATCAGGCCAGATGCCTTGGTGTACCCATGCTTGACTCATGGCCATCCTTTCCACAAGGAATCAGACACAGTAGGGGAGATGAAGGGAGGGGAAATGTGAGAAGGGGGAGAGGTAGAAGGGTGAGCCATACTGGAGTACCCAAATCACTGTTCCCACACTAACATTAGATGTTATCAAATTTTTAAAAAGGATTACTATATTGACACATATTGGCTTTTAACTTTATATTAATTAGAATGTATTTGAACACTGATGGGGGTAAACTATGTGAAATGCAGTTTTGTTGAGTCACATTTGAAAGAGATTACTCTCTCAACAAGAATGATAAATCATCTCTGTTTCAAAAATAACTCCTCTTGAAGTTGACAAGAGCAGGAAGAAATGAAGTGTGCCAGGTAATCTAATACATGCTTCCACATACATTATCTCATTTACGCTCCAGAGCAACGCTCCTAAGGATCTGTTATTCTCCATTTTTACAATGTATTAATTGTCCAAGGTAATATCAAACCCAGCCCTGCCTCCTTGGGTAACCTTTCTCCTGTGTCTGGCAGAAATTCACACATTTAGCACCAAAGATAGGTTTCCTCTATTTTCTATTTTATTTAATTTGAGACAGAGTTTTGCTCTTGTTGCCCAGGCTGGAGTGTAATGGGGCAATATCAGCTCACTGCAGCCTCAGCCTCACAGGTTCAAGCGATTTTTCTGCCTCAGCCTCTGGAGTAGCTGGGATTACAGGCATGTGCCACTACACCCAGCTAATTTTGTATTTGTAGTATTGATAGAGTCTCTCCATGTTGGTCAGGCTGGTCTCGAACGCCCAACCTCATGCAATCCGACCACCTTGGCCTCCCAAAGTGCTGGGGTTACAGGCGTGAGCCACCACATGGGGCCTTTATTTTTCTTTTTAAGATTGGAATTTGGGTTCTTAGAAACTCAAATTTCTTGAGTCATTTTATAGGCTTTTTCTGCCTGGCTGGCCAATTATAATAGAGAACTAAGAAATATTCCTCTTTCTTCATAGAAACAGTTTTGCTTGCCTAAAGTATATGCAGAATTATATTGTTCTTTACTTTGCTCAGGTAGACACAGTGTAAGTTACGGCTAGGAACTTGGAAAAACAGCAGCACTATTTTCTCTCATCTTTATTAATATATTATACCAAAGTTAACTCTCATAATTTTTAATTTCAAGTAGAAATTTTTGAAGGAAATCAATTGTATATATTAACTATTCAACCATCTCTTGGTCAGTCCATTATAATAACCCTATTTTAATTTTTCTTTCTTTTTTAATGCACCCAAAAGTCTTTTATATACTTTTTTAACTACAGCCACACTTTGAGCAGGTAAGTATCTCCTGTTTTTTCATAGCAATACTTCACTGCTATTTTAAGATTTTTTTTTTGCTGGATATTCAAGTACAGTAACCTGGAGGGGAAGTTTCCATTACTGTGCCTATTGAAACAAGCACAGGTAGAGCCATGGTGCTCAGCCTTCAGGATCACCAACATTTAGAGAACATCAGAATATATGAATCCTCTCTCCAAAAGAGCATATATAAATGCAGCATTTTAAATACACATTCCGGGGTTTTAGTCAGCAGTTCTGAAATTGATCCTCCATTAACTACTGTTTTTTTAAGGGGTATAATTTACATATTTATTTATTCCCTTACAAATTGTATTGATTTGAACATGTGACATGTATTCCAACTACCTCATCTTAAAAGATAATGGTTGTTTCTAAGAAGAGCTTGTTAGAGTTAAATAATAGATTTGTGTAATACATATAAGTATTTAACTATAATATTTCCTTAGTGTTAATAGGATTTTCTATTAAAAGATGAAGCTAAACTAGTTCATACACGTTTTTACTTAGCTTTGGAAGATAGGAATTAATAGGGGCTGTACACTTGGCATGCATCTGCTATCTAAAATATAGCTTTATCTTGCAAAACCCTTTCCACCCTTGATTAACATTTATTGCCTTGTAGGTATGGAACACAATCATTGATTAATCTAATATATACAATAGGGAGAGCCATAACTACAGATATACAGATTGAGGAGGTAAGTACTTTAAATATTATGAAATACAGTGATAATTTGGAAACCACTTTTTATGCAATTTGGACTTGCTAAAATTAAAAATAATATGCTTATCTGAATCATTACATTCTATGCTTCTATTGGTGCTGTATCACTGTGAGAGAAGAGTTTTTAATTGTATCCTGCTTCTGAAATAGAGATCACCTGTTCTTGGAGGGTGGCATTTCATCCTTTCTCACCTGAATTACTGTAGTGGACTCTGGCCCAGGGTTCCCGTCACAAACTGCGCTTCCCTCCATCCCACCTTTGCCGTCACTTCCAGTCATTGCCCTGTTCCAAAGCTTCAGTAGCTTTTCATAGTTTTTCGAAGAAATTTTGAAATCTTGTGATTAGCACATGAGGCCCTTCATGATCTGGCCCTGCCTTACAGTTTGTCTTCATTTTGCTCACATCACCGCCAAGTGTCAGAGAGCAAGAGAGATGGACAGACACCCCTAAACACTTTTCCTCTACCTATACTGTATCACTTACAAATTTTCTTGAATTATTGCATTGCTTCACATTTTCTGGATTTCAAAAACACCCTATCTTCTGTCAGGAGAACGCTCCTCATCCCTGTTCCTCACTGGATAATTCCTAATCATCTTTTAAGATCCTGTGCCTACCACCTATTCTAGGAACTTTTTAATGAACCTATTTATACCCTCTTCTCACCCATGCTTTCAAGTCATCCTATGAATATATTTTTACCATAGTGCTTATTACATTATAGTGTAATCGCTGGTAAATATGTCTACCCCATGAGACTATAATGAGTTCCCTGAGGACTGAGATCATATCTTAGTTTTGTCTACTCTAGATTCTTACCATTTCCTGGCTTTGCTGTCCTCTAGGCTAAATATTTATTAGGCAGTCTTTTTCCATGTGAAGAGAAGCACAGCTCCCCGCTTACGTAATCTTTAGCACTCTCAGTTGCAGAAGGAAGGATAGTTTCTCAGAGCTTCAGGAGTTCCAGCCCTGGTAAAAAGCACTTTGGATGGTCCTACTTGGGTCAGACGCAGCAATCGCTGTGTCCGGGGAAGATGGAATACTCTGATTGGTCTAGCCAGAGTCATGTGGCCACACTAGGCAACAGCCCCACCCAAGTCACAGGCACTGGGAAGGGGAAGGGGTACTTCCGAAAGGCAAAAGGGATGTAACCAGAAGGTAAACAAAGCTGGCAAAAGCAGATGTCGACAAAAAGATGCATTTACACAAAGTAAAACAAGAATACAATATAAATACAACCTCTACACACCCAGTAGCATAGGTAAAATTAGAAAGAGTTATGGTACCAAATGGTGGCAAAGATATGGAGCAACTGGGACTCTTTTATACAGCAGAGAGGAATGTAACATGGCACGACCATGTCAGAAAAGAGGGAGTTTTTAAAAAATATTAACTGGAAACCATCTAAATGCCCATCCATAGGTGAATGAATAAGGAAAAGTAATATATCCACACAATGGAATACTATGGTGAAATGTTAAAATTTGTGTAGCAATATGGATGAATATCAAGGAGACTCTGTTTAGTAACAGAAGCAAGTCACATTCTGGGGAATGCAAATGGATCTATAGTGACAAAGGGCAGATCAGTAGTTGCCTGGGACAGAGAGCAATGAACTGCAATAGGGCCTGACGACCCGTTTGCGGGGTAGAGGAAATGTAGTGGATTGTGGCTGTGGTTTAAAAGGGGTACACATTGGTCAAAATTCATGGACGTGTCCGGTTCAAGTAGATCTAGTTTATTGTACATAAATTAAATCCCAGTAACACTGATTAACATTAAACACCACGGCCTGAAACTATGTTAATAAGAACAAGAAGAGTCTGTGTAAATAAATGTAAATCAACTCTCTCTAAGCAAATAAACAAATACATGTGTAGGTCATAAAGGCCTGAAATTTGATTCTAAGCAAAAAAAAAAAAAAAATAAAAAAAAGGAGACGTTGACAGTCATATCATTGTGATTATGAGAGAAGAATTGTTAATTCCTGAAGAAATTATCATTTTTTGAGTTTTGGCCTGCCTGAGGCTGAGCTGTCAGGACCTGATTTATGAGGGATTCCCTGGACAAGGGAAAGAAAAGTGCACCACACCCAGAATACGCTGGAACAAAAGCTCCAAGAATCAAGACTCAGTGTGTGTTTGTATCATCGGTTCGACCTTTGCCTGTACAGAATCTAGTGATATTTTGTTGTTGTTTTAAGGAATGAATTAATGAGGTTTGTAAATTTAGTAATTTTAAAAGTTTCAAAACTCTAGTCACTGACAGATTTTCAAAATTGCAAAAATGGATTTAGCAGTAAATTATTGCAATTTTTTTATGAATTAGCTAAGATGAATATTCTTGCGAACAACTATTCATGTCCAGCAGTGCTGCTAGGCTGCATCAGTTCACAGGATAGTATCTAAAATAAATACTAAAAAGGAAAGTGAAAATGAAGTGATTTGTGTCGCTTGTCCCTCCCCACAGGCACGATTTTCAAACACCTTCCACATCTCTAGCTCTGGTTTTTTTCCTCCCTCGGCTAGACATGCTCTCAAGCACATGTGAGGCCCACCTATAATCCCACACACCATCCCCACTCCCCTCCCACCGCTATGGGAGCCCTGGACACACTATCTGTGATGTGGAGTTGAGGGTTGGTGGTTACCACCTCCTGGCAGATGTGAGCAGGGAAGTAAAGAGCCGGGGAGGATTCTTCCTGGCTTTTTAACTTATTTTTCTCCAAAACATTTCTTTTACATTGCAATTAGGCTTGATAGCCCTATTACTATGCAATTTCAAATATGTTAGGGTTTAAGTGAGCTTTTGTGAGCTATGTCTTAGGGCTGCAAGTGTTTGGAGTTCTAATCCACTGATATAAAAATAGAGTTTTGGTAAAATGAAAATTGAAAAAATTTATAACATTTATATTTTGTAATATAATTTATTATTCACTTGGAGTATGATTTATCGGCAATATTGCAACAAATGTTCTGATGAGTGAATGCTTGACCTGACCCAGTGAGGTAATTCTACCAATGCACGAATCCGTTATCTAAGTATTCTCAAGTAAAGCATGACATTTGTAAAGATGCAAATATTATGTACCAATTTTGAGCTTTGGAAGTAGCAGTTTCTTTTGAGATTTACAGTGGGGGGTTTCACTGTATCTCTGTCTACAAATCTTAGATAACACTCTATATGTATTCAGTAAATATTCGTTGAGACTTAATATGTGCTTTGGGAATAGAACAATGAATAAGACATAGTTTCTGCTTCATGGACCTTCCTGTCACATTTGCTTCTTTGGGGTAGGTGTGGTGTTCATCACATTGTCCAGCCACAGTCTTCCCAGGGACACACAATCTAGGAGTATACATTTCTACTCATTCATTATCACCAATTTGCAAAATCATGTTGCTACTTTAGCATTTAGACGTTTATTTGGTCCAAATGAGAAGTTAGATTGCACTGATCAGCTGTCTCTTTGTCCTTCCAGCTGCAGCAGTTTTTCAATAACATGTTGGAGGAAGACCAGAGGATCAAAGTTCATACCAAATTACAGACAATAAAGAATGAAAACCTGAAAAACAAGAAGCGAAGAGACAGGATGGCTGAGTGGCTGAGGAGAAACACATAGGTTGGGGCTATCTTTCAGCGCTCCTCTTGCATATTATAATGGCATTTGCTCACAGTTTTGTCTTCCAATACTTTGTGAATCTGGAAAACCACACATTTTATTTGCATTTCAGTCACATTTATTAATCAGAGTGCCGTTCTTCCCATATTGTTACATTTGGCCCCGAGGTTGGGTGATTGCTGACAATTTTGCCAATGCTGCTATATTTCTGGGAAAGATGTCACTTCATGTTAGGCTACAATCCCAGAGAATTTACTTTAAATGTCATGGAAAAACAAATGTACCTAAGAAAGTCTTGCTTATTTTGTTGTGAAGCCAGTGGAATATGAAATCATTGGCTTTGATGAGGAGCACATTCTTTGCTGAGGGAAATAACAGTTTTGCAAAGCCCTAGGGTTTTTCAACATTGGAAATTGAAGATAACATGATAATATAAAGAAACAGACACTCGAAAAGTATATTCACTAGAAGACAGAAGAGCCAAAGCAAAGCAAGATGAGAAAAGAAACAGTAGACAATTTAATGAGCCCTAAAGGCAAGAAGTGTGTCTTCTCCTGCCCATTTCTCTCTCCCACAGTACGTCCTGCATTGAACCACGCATTGCTGGTTACTGAACTTTATGGTGTCACAAAAAGACAAATGATTGTAGGATCCTTGGAAGTGCACTTCGACTTGCTGTGGTGGAGGACCACGTGGAGATAAAGGCTCCGCTCTGCAGCTCTTGATTGTGTATTCACCTGTGGGATGGACATATTTTCAGCCTAAGCAGACGAGTGACAATAATGATGTCAAAAGATGATAGCAGGCCGGGCGTGGTAGCTCACGCCTATAATCCCAGCACTTTGGGAGGCCAAGGCAGGTGGATCACGAGGTCAAGAGATCAAGACCATCCTGGTCAACAAGGTGAAACCCTGCCTCTACTAAAAACACAAAAATTAGCTGGGCATGGTGGTGCGCACCTGTAGTCCCAGCTACTCGGGAGGCTGAAGCAGGAGAATTGCTTGAACCCAGGAGGCGGAGGTTTCGGTGAGCCGAGATCGTGCCATTGCACTCCAGTCTGTGTAACAACAGCGAAACTCTGTCCCAAAAAAAATAAAATAAAAAAAAAAAAAGGTTGATAGCAAGTACCAGCTACTATTTAGGGCAAAAGGAATTTTGAAATGAAGGAAACAGAACTAAAAGACTAACTGGAGCATAATCCTTACAGTTTTGCACTCAGGGGATTAAGTTTGAAACATGGTGTCTTTTGGCCAAATTGAACCTACTTGTAATGTGGACCAACTTACTTTATACATTTTCGTCAGTCTCAATGTATGGAATTAGCTTAGTTTTCTCATGCTTGATTAAACAAGACAACTAAAGCTAATCGTTCCTCTTCTCGACTTTGTGTATGTGATTTAATCTTTTATTTCATTTTTATTTTTGTAGAATGGAGGTAAACCTACAGATCTCCACCTCAGGACGATGTTGTAAAGATTAAGAAGTGTGACGTCAATTAACAGTCTTTAAAGATGTTATATAAGTTCCAAGCAATGTGATCTAAGGCTTTTTTCCTATTTCTTGTATATGTTAAGGCAGCCATAAATGAAAATACGATACCAACATTTGCTTTTATATTTGCATCACAAGAGAATTCTCCCTGAGTGTCGGGGGAGGCTGTGGGACTTCACCATGTGGACAAACTAAAGCACAGGACACTCAGACTTGGCCACAGGTCATAGGTCAGAGAATTTTTTTCTGCAAATTTAGAAATGTAAATTTTAGGTAATAAAATATCTGCATGCCTTCAAAGTGTTGTAGGTGAGATACTTTCCTGTTTTTTTTATTAAACACTCATTCTATATTTCCCATATTTCCTCTGATAATGAATCTCATCTTTCAATAACTTTGTCTTCACATGTCCTCTCAACTGCTTTTCTCTTCTTTCTCTTCCTCTCTGTTTTAGTCCATTTTGTGCTGCTGTCATGGAATACTTTAGACTGAGTAATTTATGAAGAGCAGAGATGTGTTTCTTATCATTTTGGAGGCTGGAGATTCCAAGGTCGAGGGGCCCGAATCTCACTAGGGCCTTCTTGCTGTGCCATCCCACGGTGGAAGGCAAGAGGGCAAGAGAAAAAACAGGGAAGAGGGAAGAGGACTGACTCTTTTTTTTTTTAATCAGGAACGCACTCCCAAGACAACTAACCCACTCGCCTGATAACAGCATTAATGTATTCACGAAGGCAGTGCCTTCCTGACCTAATCACCTCTTAAAAGTCCCAGCTCTCAACATTGTGTTGAGGATTAAGTTTCCAACACAAGACCTTGGAGGGACACATTCAAACCATAGCTCTCTCCTCTATTTCCATTCCTGTTTTTTCTCCCTCAAGCTCCCGCTTCCCTTCTTTCCCTTTTCCCCTTTCTCCTCTTTCCAGTAATCTCTGCCCTCCTTCTGCCTGGTTGTTCTTATCCTTTCTCTTTGGTCTTCCTACCCGACCATGCTCTCAGTCCACCAAGTGTGCTTTGGGGCTGACACTGAGGCCCAAGAAGGCTCTGATGCCTGTATTGGGTGATGGCCAAGAACCACTGATCTCACCAGAAGAGCATGTAGGCTGGTCTCTCCAGACTGTTAAAAGCTAAACTGAATTCTGTTACATCTTAGCTTCTATAGTAATTAAACAGTGCTGAAGGTGTTTCTCCAAAATCAAATGCCTAAATATTTGATTAATGGTCTTTCCTCTAAATATCGAAAAAATGGATTATATATCTTTTTTCTTACTTGGATGAAGCTGGTTATTTAAACACTGCATTTTATTATGCTTTACCTTATACAAAGTATAAAAGTAAGTAATTGTTGATTGGTTTCTGTGATAGCAATAATGTAGTAACAAGCGAGGGAGTGATACTGAGGCTGATTTGTCTGAGTGGTATAAACACTTTATTAACCAATAAAAACAGCTTATCTATTAGCACCCCAACTATAAAACAATTTCCCTGACCCAGTCCATTTAATGTATAGCTTTCATCCTGAAAACAACAAGATGTACAATAGAGTCATGATTTTTTCCAATTTCATAATTAGAAATTAAATTTTTTCTCACAATCTTATGACTTTTTTTTTTTTGTCCATCCCCATTCTGTGACTTGCCATTGTTGACTTTAAATAAAGGAATTTAGTGTGGTGTTCAACATCTTTTGTAATTTAGATCTCTGGGACTAATCTGTATAGCAATTTATTTTGAGGAATGCATGAAGAAGCAAAGTGAGATGAGATTTAAAATGCAGCTCTTCTTAGTTACTTTTCTTGTTTAATCCATTCTTTGCTCCAATAAATGCTATCTTTTTCTCATCCAATTCTAACAGGATTACCATGTTCAAAGCAAAGCCTTAAGGGGTGCTTACAAGTAAATATAACTGCCTCCCCCACACAAAGAATGATGTATAGCACAATTGGCAGCATTTGAAACCATACAAATGTTGCCTTTGGCTCATTCTTCTAATTCAACAAGATTTAGCAAAGGTAATCTCTACAACACACATATTTAGGAGTTATTTGGACTCTTCCTCTTCCCTTGTCTTCATAAATCAGTCCTAGAGGTGATAGAGAACAAGGTAGGCAGGTGAACCACTGGGAACTGAGGGGGAGCTGTGGCGGTCCATGACCTGAAGTGGGGCATAAGAGTTTGAGTGGAGTGAAGGGGGAGTAAAGGAAGAATCCACACAGAGGAGGGAAGAACACAGTGGGATGTCAGAACCCAGAGAGGGTGAATAGGGTCACCACACAGTGGAAGAATGGGTTATGACATGGTGACTTAGAGCCCAGATAGGGTGAGAAGGGTGTCTAATGGGGGGGTGTAACCCAGAATGGGCAGTTCAAGTCCTTGTGGGGTAAGGAGGACATCCACATGTTGGAAGGTGGCCTAGTATGAGGTATGAGAACATGGGGAGGGTAAGGAGGGCATCCTCATGGGGAGGGGGAGAGGCATATATAAGAGGTGGGTGACCATGGGGTTGTGAGTCAAACAAGAAAATATATCCATAGTAATAGGAACCAGGCTTCTCACTGTTGGAGAAGGGAATTACAGAGATTCAAATGGAGGGAACATGAAAGAACTGTTCTGGTATGGAATTGGAAGTATTTGCGTGGACTCACGGTTTTCAATATCTAGATAGAAATGTAAGTATCTGTAAAGTATAAAATGAATAGCTGTAATACCTATAGATATATTTTGCTCTTTATCTGTAAATAAATATCGTTTTTTGCGCTTACTTTTAATGGCAAAAACCACAGCTACTTTTACAGCAGCCTAATATATCTATATCTACATCATCTATTTCTACCTCTATTTATATAGAGATAACGAAAGAGTAACAGTAATGGCAAAACCTGCAATTACTTTTGTACCAACCTAATGGCTTTAGACACTAGCTTTCCTCTGAGAGGGAGTGGCAGCAGGAACACCTAGTTACGGACTAAATGTATCCCCCAACAATTCATATGTTGAAGCTCTAATAATAGTATTTGGAGGTGAGGACTTTGGGAGTTAATTAGGTTTAGATGAGGTCTTAAGGTTGGAGCCCACATCATGTGATAAGTGACCTTGCAGGAAGAGGAACAGACACCAGGCCATCTTCTGTGCCTCCATATGCGTGCACCAAAAACAGCATGTGAACACAGAGAGAGGAGGCAGCTGCCTACAAGCCAGGAGAACTCTCACCAGGAACCCAAGCTGCCGGCCCCTTGATATTGGGCCTCCAGAACTGTGAGAAATTAGTATTTATTTCTTAGACCACCAGTCTATTGTATTTTGTTATGGCAGCTCAAACTAAGACAACCCTAATAATGAGCACAGCTATTGAGCATATCTTGGCTTCTAGATGCCATTCTCCACTAAAAAAAAACAAAGTTCCTTGAAAAAATCTCTGATTTTAGGGCCAGGAGAGGAAAGGAAAGGGACAATTAAAAGTGGAACATCTTTTGAAGCAAAAAGCAAGGAAGTACTAAAAAAATGTGGACATATCAAATGGGCACAAAAGCCAGCTTGAAGGGAACACCACTGGTCAAATCTGCGAAATTTTGAGAATCATAACAATAAAGGCAGTAAGGGAATAAAATAATAAATCATGAGCTAAATAATGAACCAATTAAAATTTTAATACGGAGGGGTATTTACATAATTTCAAAGTAATTTCCCACAAAGTACTATTGAATAATGAAAGCAAAATGAGTAATTTACAGTGGAAAAGTCTGGCAGATGTCACATTAATCAATTGGTCATTTCCAATGACATTTCATTGCAGTGGGTTAAATAGAAATTTTATTCCATTTAATAAGATGAAATGACAAAACTACAGTGTTACTCTTGTTATACTTCTAACAAATATATATAACATGAATCTAATAATGAAGAAAGAACAAATTGAGGGACATGCCACAAAAATAATACCCAAAAGTCTTAAAGTCATGAAAGTCAAAGAAAGACAGAGGATCCGTTCTAGACTGGAG